CAAAGACATGCGAGTAATTTCACCTCCAGAAACCCAGCAAAAGCGTTCTTTCTCTTCATCCCCTCTCTATATATATTTTCTCCCTTCCTCTCTGTAGCACTCCTCTCTCTGTCGGTCTCCATCTGCTTTTGTATTTCTGCTGTCTTTCATGACCTCTCTCTTCTCCTCTCTCGCTCCGTTGTTCGCTTTATTCCCTTTCGTCGATCGCCCTCTCTCTTCTGAACCTCGGGTACACCTGGCTGGCTGCTGAGGGCTGACACTTTAAAGACATTGGCTTCAGCTTCTGCTGCTAGCAGAATATCAATATCTGCTGTACACACTCACACACACACACACGCGCGCTCACATCGCCTCCCTCCCACACATGTAGCAACATATAGCACACATAAAGGCACACGCATTATCCACAAAGGTCCCCCTCCATTCGCACACCACCCACTAACCCCCACAGTCTATCTGACTCTATTTGAGCCGGCATAAAGGGAGGCTGTCAGATTGCACAGCAGCGACGACTGAATGACCGCCACACCAACAAGAGAGGAACCTTGGGAGAGCTACAGTGGAGGGCACGATGAGTAAACACAAAGCATTTCCCCCTCCACCTCCACATTTTTTGTTGCTACAAAGCACTTTTTTTCCTTCTCCGAATAACCTGTCCTGCATGTGTTGGTTACATCAGAAGAATTTTAAGCAGCTAACTGTAAGCCCTTTAAGACCTCATCCCTGCTTGGGCATGTGTGAACGTACAGAACCCAACTCTCTCTCTTTCTTTGTCTCTGTGGGCTACTCCTCTCAAACCTCCTTCACCCCCGCCCTCCCCTCGCTCTTTGTTGATTTACAACGTGGACGTCTCTCCATCAAAGCCAGATTGCTGCTCTCCGTGTTGCCTGGCATGGATCTCTTTGCACTTGGGAATAACACCCCACAGCTCAAGGATCAAGAGGTTATCACGTGATTCTCACTGTCTGTTTCAATTGTTTTGGCTATCTGCGCCTGAGTAAATGGCCATTATAAATGTCACACCTCAAGTGCATTGTTTGCAGCAATAAACAAAACAACTGATGGAATAATAGCTTCATTTTTCTGTCGGTGTATCTTTAGAAGGTATTCTGTCGTGCTGGCCTAAAATAGCTAAAATAATATATCACCAGTTTATGCATCTGTTGTGTTTACAGACTGACTGTGAGTTTAGCCTTGATAGCTTCCTCCTGGAAGTCACGGGGGACAACCTTTCACTCCTTAAATTTGCATAACGTTGGCCTGACACCTAGTGGATACAATAATGTAAGTTGGTCTGAAAGGAGTATCAGCGAGACACTTAAATTCAGATTGAACTTCTCATCTCCATTTTTTTTTTTTCTTAAAGTCACATAACAATCCCACACATGATTCAGTTACATCATGGCCATGCCAAGAGTTTTCTTGAAGAGATGTCTGTGCTATACTCCTACAAATTAGGTACAATATAATAGTCGATCCACACCAGTCAGTCGGTGCCTGACTTGAACTGATGTTTATTTTACAAATGGGATATACAAGTTTAGTCAAATTAAGACCAACCGTCAGGTCATTTAAGGACTTTAGGATGAGCCATGTCAGCTTTGTGACTCAGCAACTCACAGTCACCATGCACCTACATATAAAATAAATATCTTTAAACAGCAAAAATGTAACTGTACAGGATAATAGGATATTTAATCTTAAAGTTATAATCCTTCAGATGTTCATCATATCAAACTACTTTTTGATGGCTGCTATAAACATTTACACTCCTCAGTTGATTTTTTTGCATTGTCGGTGGCGCAGTCCGCCATTCCTGTGTTGGATTCAACTGGTGCGAAAACACACAAAAGATTTACAGGAAATGATGCATGCGCACATTGCTCGTAATTTGTGTGCACATGTTTCGCGTGATGACATAATCTGGAAGAGCAGAACAGTCCGTTTCCGTCATTTTGAAGAGAAACATATTTGCTTCGAGTAAAACTACTGCGAAACACAAGTTGCGAGTGTTGCACGTCTTCCTCTGTTGTCGCTGTTTCTGACATACAAGCTCTTTAAACCGACTTCCTGGTGGTGAATAAACTCTCTGCGTTGTTTTATTACGACATTGTTAGCATCACCAACAGCAACCACAGGTGTCACCAAATCAACCAGAACTGAAATTGTAAGGATTGCACCTTTAATGGCCTTACTAGAACCTGACCTAATGGGGGCAGGTCTTTATGAAGCTTTATACTGACCGTGTGTGGCTCGGATAACAATTCATTTACGCTGACATCGTTAGAATCAATAACATTTTTTCAAGCAAAAGTCATAAAAAAATCCCAAATCCTAGTGAGTCTTCTTGGACTCTGCTGTAGAAGCGAGGCTTGTTTGGGCTCTAAGTCTCAGCATGCTTAGTCAAGCGGAGAATCGAAGCCCCGGGGCCAAGGCACGTTATCGCAACAGATATGACAAAGTGACAAACTACTATACTTCAGACCAAGCCTCAGATTTATCATAGAACAACAAGAAAGAGATTCAATCTGGAGGAAACTCACAACCGCCACACTGAGTCGAACAGAAAATACTGTTGTTTTTACGTGTGTTTGTAGTGCTGGATTAAATGATGGCGAGCACTATAATCTAAAAAAGGAAACATGGCAGTCTACATGAAACCTTTTTGAAATTTGTCTCTTCCCTTCTGGGCTGTGGAATAGCACTGATCAGCACTGATATGATGCGTTTCATTCACTTTCACATTGATTTAATAAAAATATAAAAAGGTCTTCATTGAGCAAACTGAGATGAAAGGGAATCATTATCTGGGACCTTTCTCCTATTTAATGCCAATGCTCTGAGTTTATCTTATGTATCATGTAACATTTCAAATTATTTCAATACTACTCAAATTTAAGTGGTTAAAAAAAAGGGCTCCATATGCAAAACAACCTGCGGCCCTGTACCGAGTGAGTGCAATCAAATGAAGTCAAGTCAGAGAAACTGCACTCCCTGTCCATGTTGCTTTCAAATAGTCTTGTATTTGACCAAGGAGAGCTGTCTGCCCTTCACACACACACACACACACACACACACACACATTTATACCAATCAGCAAGATCTAAATCCCGCGGGTATAGGCTCTATTAGACCATGTGCTTATGAGAAGATAATCATTTGGTTATATGAAGACACAGCACCGGGCGGTGGGTGGCAACAGTTATGATGCTGCATGAAAATGCTCTGCTGCACACTGTGCGCCACAGCTTTAACTTTTAATAAGTTGTTGCCTAAAGGCAGACATTAATGATTCCTTTCTGTCAAGGTGAAGGAACAGAGATAGCAGACAATATGCTTAACTTTAAAGAATGCAATCACAGCTTTGAATATGAGTGTGTGAGTTATAAAATGACACCGCTGTCCTCTGGGCAAACAAGTTAAGCTTTTGCCCTTGACTATACAGATCGATGAGATAGTTTTAATGCCAATATCACGCTAGAAGGGCAGATATTAATTTGTGACATTTTGTTGCATGGTAAAAAAAACGTATTACCTTACAATTTAGCTGACCTGTTAATTGTGTATTTTACTTGGAAACAAACCCATGACTACACTCTAAAAGGCTTAAAATGCCAGAGAGTTAATTGGAAAAGGAACCCGTTTTTCACAAAATGCCAAACTGTCATTTTATAGACACAAACACTAGATGGAGCTGTTTAGTTTTGACTGCTGCCTACATGACGGCTGGTTTCATCGGGTCACATGTGGGAACTTTGTGACCTCAGTTTTTAGTATCACTGCCTGGATATACAGTTCATTTCTTGTCAGATTTGTGCTCCACATACATGTCATTTGGCAGTTTCATAGTTAAATTGCATGTATTTGCTGCAGTGTAGCCCACAAACAACAACATGATAAACTGTCCACATAGAAGGCTGGCATGGCACAAGCAGTTTGTGGGTTAACCTAGTGTTTTTGTTGTGCAATCCACATTGAACTGCAGTAGTGGTCGTCGAAGCTCAAGCAGCTATTTATGTCTGATTCGCAGAGCTCTGTAAACAAGCCCGAGTACAAGAAAAACATGTCACATCATGACGACTGAAAATGCACTCTAATTTCGTTGTTTTTATGTGGCCACATTTATGAAACAGACCAGCAACCATTGATTCTCCAGCTTTTACGAAACCTGAACCTTGTGGGATGCACTCCACGAAAGCTGGTGATTGAGCTTGATCTGTTCCAGGGAGCGTGAAGCAAATGAGGCTGAAGTGAGCACAACAAATACAAGCATAAGAAACGCAAGCATCTGTTGTTGATGTGCAGTTAAATCAGGACGTTTCCTTATGCTTAAAGGATGAATGCCGTCTGTAAAAGTGAAGCCAAAGATATTTAGCAGTGCGTCACATAGCCTAGAGTACAACAATTTTACTCCATTAACCCAAGCCTCTTGGTAAATCTGAGTAGCTTGGGTCTGGTGACTTTGCTGTGATGCCAGTAGTCAAGGCCTGAATGTTTTACATGTGGTTGCTCTCTCTGTTTCTGAGTTGCTTCAGTAATCTAATCATGTTTTTGTATCTCTGTGTTTTCAACCAGCCGGCCGACAGTGTGAGCAGCCAATAACATGGGTGTTCGAGTATCAGTGCTGTTTTTACTGCTACAATCATCTGGCAGACAGCGATGGAGATGGTGAAGCGAATAGGAGTGGAAGGTATAGAGAAGAAATGAGAGATCAGACCAGGGAGAACTGAAGTGACATTATATAAGAGGAAGAGGGAAAGAAAGACATAGGGAAATAGAAGGAAAGAAAAAGATTAGGTGGGGAGTCAGACATATACTGAGAAAACCTCTTTGACGAGACACATGTGAGTCTGCAGCCGTGTTGCCAAAGAGCGGCTCTATTTTTAGGGGAGGAATGCACACAGAGGCCTCGTGGATAGAGACCATAACAAACAAACAGTACGCAGCACGCTCCTACAAAGAGACAGCCCCCTTTGTATCACACAGGCACACAGTATCGACGCAGGAGCTAAGAGGAAGAAAGTACAGGGAAATGTCAACGCATCAGATTTTCTCTTGAGATCTTGCTTTCGAAAACAGAGTGGGGCAACCACACAACATAAAAAGAGAGAGAAGAGGAACAGGTAGGAGATGTATTCCTCTGAGGCTTGTTGTCTTATGTATGTTGTTGGCATGGCTTTGGATAAATTCTATGTAAATATGAATCAAACAAAAGAGTTTTTTTTTTCCAGTGATATGTTAAAATTAGCATTCTGTATTTTCTTGCTTTGAATCAGACTAGTCCATTTGTATGTGTTATTTTACAATGATGTGTAATGCATGCAATGGATTGGAAGAGCTGCAGTCACATGCACCACTTTTTCCATGACAATGAATAGTTGTGCAGGTGTTTCTGGGGTAATCTACTTAGACAACTAGTCTTCATAATAAGTCAGACAGGCTTCTATAGGCCCTATTTGTAGAATGACTGGGTGTAGCAGCACTAAATTGGGCCCGCGGGCTTAAAGGCAATGATCACATAATAAAGTTAGTGTGTGTGTTATGAGTTGAACAGGCTTCAAAAAACATGGTATCTGTAAAGTACACAATCAAGCAGTGGTTTTGGTTACAGCTTACCAAGAATATTTGTAGGACAGAATTTTGGATACATGACACAGGAGTGTATTGAATCTAATTCCAGTGGCATGGTTCTGCGGTAATGTGTTTGTTTCACTAGAATTTGTAAATTCTCGGGATTATAATCAATTCTAAGATGTCTTATAAAATGGGACCTTTTCTCAAAATCCTTATACTGCTGACCCTAAACTCTAAGCTAAACTAACATCTAATCCAGTTTTGGTAAAGTGTACACATTAGTGCTAAATTAGCTAAAATGATTGAACAAGAATTAGAGTATGTGTCTGATTATACAAGTTGTTGGAGGAGGAGCTTACATTAAAAAATGCTAAAAGAATCCATGCTTGATTTGAAAAAAAAACAACCCAATTGATTTGACAATAACAGCATGGTCTCTCCTCAGCATGGACCGACCAGTGGTCAAGATCTTCCACTACAAAGACAAGGAGCAGTCCTCCAACCTGCTCCTGCAGCTCAACGGACTGAGACAGGAGAACATCCTGATCGATGTGTCACTGTGTTCGGATAACACAGAGATCCCATGCCATCGCAACGTCCTGGTCTCCAGCAGCCCCTACTTCAGAGCAATGTTCTGCAACAACTTCATAGAGACACAGCAGACTAAGATTGACTTACAGGGCATCACATCGGCCATTTTGAGCAGTGTCATTGACTATGTTTACACAGGACTCGTCAGTATCAGCATGGATATCGTGCTGCCTCTGATGCAGGCGGCATCCATGTTGCAATATGGCCGCCTTTTTGAGGCCTGCTCGAGCTTCCTTCAGGAGCAACTGAGCCCTGACAACTGTTTGAGCATGATACGGCTCTCTGAGATCCTGAATTGTAACAGTTTGAGGGACAAAGCAAAGGAGATGGCCATGAAGAGCTTCTCGGACGTGTCAGCGTCTGAGGATCTGTGTGAGCTCTCCCTGCCAGAGCTCATGGGATACCTGGAGGATGACGGTCTTTACGCGGAGGAGGAGCAGGTCTTTGAGACACTGGTAGCTTGGATCCACCATGATCCTTTATCCAGGCGTGGTGCAATCAGTGACCTTTTCAAGAAAGTTCGCCTCCGCCACATCCATCCCACATACCTCTTTCAATTCATAGCCAACGACCCTCTGATCCAGTCCTCCACATTCTGCGCCGAGCTCATAGAATCGGTCCGACGCCTGATGTTTTCCGTCAACACGAAATGCGTTGGTGACACAGCGGTTGACTTCAAACCTCTCTGGGTTGCACCGAGGCGCTACTCCTCCCACGACATGTTGGTGGTGGTAGGAGGAAGGAAGAACAGCGAGCAGACCTCGAGGGAGGCCTTCGTCTTCGATGAAAGGAGCGAGACATGGCAGCAGCTCGCCAAGCTGCCCATTCGTCTGTATAAAGCCTCCTATGTTGCCCTTCACAGTGTCTTGTATGTCATCGGAGGCCTGACCACAAACACAAAGAACTGCCAAGTCAGCACGACCGTCTACACCCTCTCCCTCAAGACCAACCAGTGGCGGACAGCAGAGCCCATGCTGACGCCACGCTTTGCCCACCAAAGTGTCTCCTACCTCCACTTCATCTTTGTCCTGGGTGGCCTTGGGCCTGACAGACGACTGACGGACAGCGCGGAGAGGTGAGTTGGACCATAATTATCATCAAACAAAAGCCTGTCTTGGCAAAAGCCCATACGCATACAGAACTAAACACGCAAACGTGGGAAATAAAAACACTTCTCTCCATAATGCTATCAGGTACAACAGTATGTTCAACCAATGGGAGGCTATGGCGCCCATGCCTGAGGCTGTGTTGCACCCTGCAGTGGCTGCTTCTAACCAGAGGATCTACGTGTTTGGAGGAGAGGACGCCATGCAGAACCCAGTCAGAATAATACAGGTAATGCTCTTCAATCACTAAATCACGGTTTATGTTTTCTTTCATTTGCAGCTCCATCGTCTATTCTTTCTCATTCATTCATTCATTCACTCACTCACTCAATCTATTTCCCCCTCACCCTGACCCCCCTCCCCCGTTCGGTAGGTGTATCACATTGCCAGGAACATGTGGTCTAGGATGGAGAACAGAACCGTGAAGAATGTGTCTGCTCCTGCTGCCATTGTGGATGACAAAATCTACATCATTGGAGGTAGACAATATGAGTGCTAACAAAACAATGTTTATGTTTAAAGCTCATACACTTAACACCTTTGATTCAGCTAAGAAAAGGAGAAAGGAATCCATAAAAAGAGAACCATATTCATTCTGCTGTAATTCCGTATTGATTTATTTATCATAATGCATCGCGGGCATTCTGCTTGAATCACACGGGCTGCCCCTCTCAAATGAATGCCTCCCTTGTCACAGGATACACCAGGAGAGTGATCGCATACGATACCAATGCCAACCGGTTCATCAAGTGTGCCAACCTGAAGGAGAGGAGGATGCACCACTCTGCCACCGTCCTCAACAACAAAGTCTACGTCACAGGCGGACGTCACATCAACGGCAATGACGTCATCGAGGATTCAGACAATTTCGATTGCTACGATCCAAAGACGGACACTTGGACATCTAAGGGGACTCTGCCGTATAAACTGTTTGATCATGGCTCGCTGACTTTGACGTATGTCTCAAACCATGGGCAAAATCATGGCTGATCTCTGATGTTCTCCTTTAATGCTATTAATTTGAAACCAGTTTATTTACAACTGTCAATCAAAAAGTGTTAATGCATTATTCCAACCAAAGGACTCATTTAAAATGCCTGAATCATTTCTATAACTGGGAATGTACTTGTTCCATGTCTTTTCTATGTTTAAACAACCAAACCTATGAAAACAGGCTATTGTGTGCCACATCCCCTTCTCAACCTGTCTTGACTTCACAGAAGGTGAAAGTGCTATTTTCAGCCTGCTCTAAATCATGAGATTTCACTTGTCATGATTAAATCCCGGGGGCTGTGTTCTGTGTGGTGCTCAGTCTGACTGCTGCTGTGTCTGGTGAAAGTTTGGATTACTTGTTGCTTTGCACTACAAAATGATGATGAAAATATTGTTATAACATTGTCACCAAATATTTCATGCAGTGGTGAGATCAGAATAAAAGCATAGGAATGTGTTCAAAGTATAAATTTAGACTGAATTTTGACTAAATATGACTTTTGGCAGTGTTTTTTAGATTTTGTGTTTTTTTAAAGGACCCATTACCCTAGAATGATATAATGCACAATATGATTCTACAACATAATTTACATATCTACTGTATACTAAAATATTAACTTCTGACCTTGTGTGAATAGCCTCAATTTCTGTATTTAGTAAGATACAATTTAACTTTTTTTAAAGGGTGTTTTTTTTAAATGTTTTTGTACTGCTTTTTCTGGTACTAACTATTGATTTTTCACAATAAAAATTCAATCAAGACACCTGGCCTCTCTCCATCTCTCAGTGCAGTATGTCTTCACAGTGCCTCGTCAGTTGACAGCGAGTGCAATCTGAGCAGCTCATGTCTCCCGTATGTGTCATCATGTGTCTGTTTGGCCCCGCTCTCACTCCTGTCCACACAGGACCTTCACATGTCCAGGCAGGTTCCTGCCATCCAGACAAGGAGGGACACAGAATAAAATATCTGGAAAATGTATCACATTGCAAAGAACAGTTTTAAATATTATCGAGAATGGAAGATTGTGAAATAGCTTTTCTCCACCTGTTGCAGGTGAAGTAAAAGCCACTGGTGCCCCACGAGGTCTCAGCTGACTAACATGAATTTGAATGTGACTGCTCATACAGAAGACACATGCTGATGGACATGAAAATAGGAGACATCACAGCCAAATTGTGTGGCCTGTTTAGCCAGCATGAAAGGATATCACGAATGATTTAGTGTTCGTAGGATCACAATTTATTTTGAAAATTACATTTAATATTAATATGAATGGTGCAGGTAATTCAGATCTCGAGTAAAGTAAGGATCAGCAACAGCTGAAGTGATAACATGATTTCATTCACCTCTAAAATTGTAGAGACTGATGTCAGCTGTTTAGTGTGGAGAAAACATAACGTGATCAGGAGCTATTACACAGGACTCTGTGTCCATTACTTTGAAACCAGAAATCACTGGGTCAGGTGTTTCAGTCACTCACTGCCAGCAAATAGAGTCCAGGGGACAGTGGGTGGGTCAAGGTGGGGGACTGGAAAAACTATAGTAGTTATGATGTTATTTTGAGAGACAAACAAGAGGGCAAATGTTACACCATGTGATGCATGTGGTCCTGTCAGTTGCCACGCAAGCCGGCAGATGTGAGAGGCGACTAGAGAGAGCAAGAGCAACTAATGAGCAGGGTTTCACAACAGAGAATCTGAGCCAGTGATGAAACTCATCCAGGAAGAACAGCAACAGGTGTGTGTGTATGTGTGTGTGTGTGACTAAGTGTATTTGTGAGAGAGTGTGTGTGTTTGTGATTTAGGTTTTTGGAGGCTCAAGCAGGACAGCTGTCCTGTCCGGTCACAACATCACAACACAAATAGGAATCGTGGACAGAGGAGAGAGAGCGAGAGAGGGAATTCACTACTAACCTTTTAAATCATGCATCCATGTGTCTCAAAAACATTGACATGAACAGGGGATCACCACATGATACAATGTCTTGGGAACATGAATATCTACACAAAATTGTGTGGCTATCAATGAAGAAGATAAGTAAAAGGTTTGACCTGCTAGATGCTCTAAGTATTTAGGCAGTGGATCACAAAAGTCAGTGGGGTTCATCCTCTGAGGAACATGAATATCTGAACTGTCATGGCAAACCATTTTGAAGTTGTTGAGATATTTTAGTCTGAACTGACAAACTGACATTGCCATCCACAGAGCCAGATCACTAACACCAAACCACCTGATTTAACATTGGTTGTGACTCACTGAATAAACTAAACTGATACTCTTTGGAGCCGTAGGTCATAGCTTCCTTCTCCGTTAGTCAGTCACCAACTGACACTTGCAGGGACTTTCCATGTCATCCTGTAGTGTGGCCTTCTCTACAAATAGACTTTAATTAGATTTCAGTGACTGAACACCATACACATTACTGTATAGCCCCTGCAATTCACACAGTAAGAGCTGTTTTTGTCTTGAAGTTCCACTTTTCACACCCAACACTGCGGCTCCGTATGGTTAGCCGCATGGGGAGCTGTCGGACTATTTCAGTGTGGGTCACTTCTGCAACGGCTGCAATTGGAAGTCATGATCAGCACATCTAGTCAGAGCACATGTGCCCAATGTGCTTTGCAATATTCTCATGTGATATGTTGTTGACAGATTTTAACATGCGGAGTGTGTGCAGAGCTCTGACCTTTTGCATATATCAGGGTGTTACATTCAAAGCTAGGACATGAAGCCACAGATGCACCTGTTTCAAAAGCTTCAGCAACACGGGATCTGTAATTAACGGTGCAAGAATGTTTGAATGAATTCAGAATGTTTGAATGGATTCAATGATTTCAATAAAACACTAAAATCCTGAAATGCACTTTTGTTGAGGGAGAACCCCTTTCCATGCTTATTCACTCTTTTTGACAGTCACAAAAAGGTGACTAATTTATTAGAAGAAGAGAAGGAAAGGAATCAACAGAGTCCTTGTCAAAAATGGGTTAGTGTAATAGCACATCAGTGACGAGCCTGCATCGCAATAAACACATCAGTTGGTAACCAGCCGGGTTATGCTACACACACACACGATGTGTCCCGACACAAGAAGTGGACGAGCTGAAACACTGTCGACATGTTTTGCAGAATTGTATTGTATGTCATAAATTGTGAGGACCCAGAACCCCTCTCTCTCTCTCTTTCTCCCTCTTCTCACTGCCTCAATGCAGACAGACATGTGAACATACACTCATTCAGTCACATGGGTATAGATACACACACATGCGCATCAACCACTGTGTCTTTTTCTTATACTGAGAAACAATACACAAAGTGGTTCTCGTGCTGCAGGAGTTTAAGGAAGAGAACTTCACATCAGCAGTCACATGACATCAGCAATCAGACTGGGGTGCGTTTTAGGTGAGACATTAACGGCACTTCCTAAATGGAGGCCTTTGTTATCGTGCTTACTGTATGCCGATGACAAATCCAATCTCTCAACTCTACCTGATCATTCTCAAAGGCCTCACAGATGTGTGCATAAATGATCATTCCTCATTAATGAATCCCAGTCATTGCCAGTGGTGAAAGAAGTATTCAGATCCTTTACTTATAAGTAAAAGTAGCGATACCACAATGTAAACGTGTGATGTATACTTGAACAAGTAGTTGAAAGTACTGTGCAAAATGACCCGAATCTAGAAGTTGCAACCACATTTTCAATCTTCTTCTTTTTAATCTTGTGTGTCAGATGAAAAATTCAGGCTTCAGGCATTCTCCTTTTAGTTTTGTTGCAAGACAAGATACTTTATCACTTTTATGAGCATACACAGCTTTGCACAACTCAGCCTTGAGCATGTCTAATTAACCACATACTGTAACTCGAAACACCTGTGAGGGTTTACAGGGCATTTAATATGTTACAATCATGTTTTACAAGTTGTTCATATGTTTTCTCTATAAAGTGACTGTTGGGGAGACAATCAAATGACTACAAAGATACAGAAAACATCTACAAAGATAAACACTTGTATGACAATCGGTCCATGACTGTAGCTGTAAAATAAATGTAGTAAAGTAAAAAGTATAAAGTATTATTTCTCCCTAAAATGTAACGGAGAGGAAACGTGAAGTAGCAGAAATTGGAAGTACTCAAGTACATTTACAAGTATCTTGACATTAATTACAGTATTTGAGTGAATGTAGTTACAGCAGAGACAGTTACACAATGCCAAGCTGTTTAATTAACATATAATAAATACTTTCGTAAGGGATTTATCTTGTTAAAATCCTTCTAAATAAATGCCCTTGGTGTCCTCTGTCTCTACATTTCCATGACACGACAGACGGTTCGTTACCTCCGCTGTTCTCCAGGAAAGGTTTTGCAACGCTCAAGTTGATAAACAAAGCCACGTGTTGCAGGGAAGTTTCCAAAGTGGGCGGACCTCGTGTATTTCCGGGTTCTGGGTTGAGGATATAAGAAGAGCTGCGCAATGACAACAGTAGACCAGAAATACGTACATATCCCTTCAGGAGAGGATACATATTAACGCAAACAGGGCACTGTTTCCTGATACTTTTATTTTAATTTAACTCACCGTCGTCGAAGCAGGATATGCCTTTCCTCGGACAGGACTGGAGGTCACCGGGTCAGAGTTGGGTTAAAACCGAGGAGGGATGGAAAAAGACAACGGCGGACGAGAAAAACAACAATGTCTCCGTGAAGAGGTTGGTCAATAAACAAGTCCCGAGAATTCGCGCTGTCTCCATCGCAACAGTGTTTGAGATCCAGCTCCTAAATGCGCCATTAGGTTTTTTTTCCAGTTGGGGGGAGGAAAGTGTGTGTGGGGGGGGGGAGATATTTTGAAGAAAGTCCAGACAGCTCGATGAACAAAGGCAGGGTGACAGACAAACGGGAGGCCTGCACCTTCCGTGTTGTTTCCATCTCATTAACCTCAGTGTCTTTCTTTGTTTCTGGGGGCCATGTTCCTTTTCCAGGCTAATGACTGAGCTATTAATAACCTCACAACAAGTGAGAGGATTAACAAACGTCTGTCCACTTTGCAACATGCCGACACTAACACGAAAAGCCTGCCTTTAACAGGGCCCGAGGTTACTGTTAAAGCTCATACAAGTAGTTTTGGTGTTGGTGTGTCCTCCTTATAGCCTTCTGAAGAAAACAAACGACGTGCTGCAGACCTAGTGTGTAGGCTACTCGGATAAAATGGTGAAATGTTGCCTTTAATGAAATATGTGTGGTTGTGTTTTTCCAGCTTCTGCAAAGCCGAGGAGGAGGAGGAGGAGTGTTTCAACAAAGAGAACCTGCTGCTCTCTCTTAGCTATGACATGGCTGCCAAGAAGAGGAAAAAAGACCAAATGAACAACAACACCAAGGTCCCCTGTGAGTCACTACCAAAGGCCCACACAGTCTGACTTATTGTTTTTAAAGAAGCAAAAGATAACATTTTGTAATTTATTTATTTATTTTTTTTACGCGTGGGGTTACAAATCGCATAATAAAATGGGTAAAGTTAACTTCATGCCAAACCGTATTAAGCGGAGGGGCTCATGAGGATGTTATGTAACGTTCATGATGGGAACTCATCCCTTATAATATTGTTTATGATTATTTTTTTCCAGCATTTGATCAATTCTATTTCAATAACTATGCTCACTCTGAAATTGTATCTTTTATTGGCACCGTGTGTGTGTGTGTGTGTGTGTGTGTGTGTGTGTGTTTGCATTTGTCACAGTGCTTATAAGCTGCTTAATGAGGACAGGCCACTAATACAAACAATCTGCTTTCTCACAGATTTCCACAGGGAAAAGTGGATTTATGTTCATAAAGGAAGCACCAAGGAGGTAACAAACCAGCTCATCTGCTTTCACAATAACTTTTCACATCATCATCATTGCTCGTGTCAACATGCCGAGAGAACCTTGTACTCCTGCCGAGGATCTCAATCCTAATACCCCGATGATTGTGTTTTCCTCAGCGCCACGGATATTGTACATTGGGAGAGGCCTTCAACCGCTTGGATTTCTGCAGCGCCATCAAGGACACAAGGAGATATAATTACGTTGTCAGAGTGAGTCCTCGTCTCTTCTTCTTCTTCTGTCTCTTTTTGTTTCTCGTCCTCTGTGGTTGCTTATAGGAAGTGTTTTGTTCGTGGGGGAGAAGGGGTTAAGAGGGTGTGCAGGCTTCTGCCAGGCTCTTATCAATGCTCAGCAGACAAGGGTCTCTCCATGGTGGCGATACTGACCCAGGGAGTATATGCGTGTGTTTGTGGTAGGATAAAAGTGGGACATAGCGTGACAATTTGCTGTAATATGATTTGATAAAGCCATTTGGCATCCCTAAATTAAATTACACTAACGCATCATTTTAAATCAATTATTGTTAACTAGTGCAATTCTGTAACTTTTAAAATGTTTCTATATGTTCTAACTGTTAAAGTGATGTACAGACATTAGGGATGCTAAATGGCTCTGTGAAAAATAAATTCCACTAAAAACATCGTCGACATTCATTATCATCGTTATCTATAATGTAATTGCATTATCAATATATAATCCCTTAGTTTAATTTTGAGTTCTTCCCCTCCACATCAAAGCGTCGACGCACTGAACCAAACATCAGCTCTCCCACATGTGCTCCCATGTGAGCTGAGTGCATGTGGTCTTGTTCTCCTGTGCGAGGGGGAGGGGGGGGTGACAGCTGTGCGGTGAGGTGAGACCACCCGACAGGGGTCTATGAAACCAGACCCAGTGGTTGTCAGGTGATTCAGACCCACACACACACACACACACACACACTTGTCTCTGCACTTGTCTCTGCCAGAATCAGGCCACCTCCATTCGCTCTTTTCTGTCTCCTTCTCCTGTCTCCTTCACTTAAACTATGCCACAATCCTCTGAACTGTCTCTTTCTGCCAGCCTGAGGAATGTGATGTACCAAAGCCGGCCTCCCGTCTCTGTTGAAGTTTTTTGTATTGACCTTTTTCTAGCGCTGGTTCCAGCCAACATGTGCAGTGTAGTGTGGTAAGCCCAAAGAACAATACGGCTGTGTAACACCAGCGTCTACTCTGGACACGGCGTCCTAGGTCACTGCTCTTCATTGGTTGTGTCTGATGGCATTTGGGGGTTCATTTAACTCCGTCTCAGTTACACGGATCGGGTTCTTCCACAAAGAGACACCGAGAGGTCCCTCTTCTGTTCTCCTCACGCACGAAAAAAACGATTGTTTATTGTACAGTAACAACACAAGACGCGGTGTGTCTGACACGGCTGGTGTGGCAAGCTGTGCCGTGCAGTTTGGAGAACAGCAAGAGCTAAAAGTAGATCCTGAAACACACGTTGTTCTGCCCGGCTGCTCTACAAAGAGAGGAACACTTGATGAGCTGCTAAAAGCAGAAGGGCATGGGATTAGCTTTTAGGAATGGAGCTGGAATGAATAAAAAGGGGATCCGGGAGAGGGCGAAGAAGCTTAAAAAAAATGAACAGGGAGGGTGAGGGTGTCAGAGAATAACCCTCAAACTAATCGGCATTTCTTCTTACTCCCAGTAAGCACCACCCGCCAGTTTACCAGAAAGCAGCCCACAATATGTGGATGTGGATATGTTGACAAAGGTCACGTGCTCCGGTGAGAATTGAGCAAGTGGGAACTCGAGTTTCTCCATGATGTCACGGCATCTGCTGCATGCCAGCCATGCCACCCTGGAACCCACTGTTTGTCCGCTAACCGGCAACAACCACGCACGCACACACACACACAAGCCTGCATGGGAGCGGGAGTGCAGACACACTCTGTCAAATGATGCAGCTAATTCACGTGACGGGAGGATCAAGGAGTCCCAATGATTTAAAAGCTTGTTCGCGGAGGCTGACGTTGTTTACTGCCCAGGCTCTTGTCCAACACCTTTCCTGTAGCTTCTTCCCCCCCCCCCCCTAAAGAGACTCCGATCAAGAGTGATCAGAGCCAAGAGCGCTGTCGTTGGACCCAACCTCGGGTTGAGAGCACGGACCAGGTGGCGCGGCTCCAAATTTGTTGGGGAGACGGCGTTTATTGTCAGGAGTGCAAGTGCCTTTTATGAGAGAGCGTAACAAACATTAAGCACTGAGGCAACGGAACGGAGAGTCTCTCAACAGCTGACAGGATGAAATTGATGTGTTGTTTTCTTTCTCTTTTCTCTGCTCTAGCTCCTGGAGCTTATCGCCAAGTCCCAGCTCCCCTCGCTCAGCGGCGTGGCGCAGAAGAACTACATGAATATTCTGGAGAGAGTGGTACAGAAAGGTGAGCCCTGTCGCTCTCCTCCCCGCTCTTTGTAAAGCCACTCGACTAATTTGCCTCTCGGCCTCTCTCCTTTTGTGTACCAAGGGTTTCATTTTCTGCTGTTTTCACACACACACGCGCACGCCTAAACGTGCAGTTTGACTCCATTCAGTCTATTTGGTTTCCTTTTTATTGTTTCATCAAAATGTACATGGACATAGACTCCTCTTCCTTCTTAAAGACAAACGCATGAAAGCTACTGTTTGCTCCGATAGGTGAGGAAATGAGCCCTGACGACCTGTGAAGGAGGCAGGGGAGTGGATTTAGTGCTTTAATGGCGCCGTAAAACCCACAAGACAGTCACCAGACGGCCCAGCAAGCCACAGTGTAAACTAAATGTTCCCTCTGCTAAACAGAGGTTCGGCTTGTTTAGGTGGCGTTATGAAACCTGTTGGCCAGATATTACAAACGTCACAGGAGAAGAGTGCAGCCACTCCAAAAAACATTTGCTTTGATAATGTGCTTTTCGATGACTCACTGTTTCACTATTGGGCGGCTACTTTCAGGTCGTGATTTGAGTAGTGAATTGAGTTCAGTGATTTATCTTCTCGTCCTCCCCCCCCCCTCCCTCAGTTCTGGACGACCAGCAGAACGTTCGTCCGATCAAGGAGCTGCTGTTGACGCTCTACGTCTCGCTGTGTGGTCTCGTTCAGGACATGGGCAAGTCTGTCCTGGTGGGGAACATCAACACCTGGCTGTACCGCATGGAGAACATCCTGCAGTGGCACCAGCAGCTGGACAACATCCACATCAACAGGGTGAGCATGGGCTCGAAATACAGGGCGAGGAGCCTGAATCATTTCTCCTTATGATGGAGAAATGTAAGGGAATTCAAGGAGGACATTACATTTCTATTAAACGTATGACTTTTTCTTCCCCTTCAGCCCACATCTACAGGCATGATTCTGACCGAACTGCCCGCCAGTCTGCAGTTGAACATCATGCAGCGTCTGTCGGACGGCAGGGACCTGGTCAGCCTGGGCCAGGTGTGCCCCTCGCTGGGGGCGCTCGCCGAGGACCGGCTGCTGTGGAAGAGGCTCTGCCATTACCACTTCACAGACAGACAGGCACGTGGAAATCAGGGGGATGATCCTTAAATATGTACAGAATGAGAATGATGCACTCCTCCGTGCCCGTAACACACATTGGCACACACACACACACACGGCGGGTTAGTCGTCTTCCTTGTTGTCCTCGAACTGCCTCAGATGACCTCCAGGTTACACACTTGAGACCGTTAAAGTAAGATAACGGTGCAGTCTTTTTGACATACATGTCATTGAAAATCACTCAGAGGTCAAGCATCTCTGATAAACAAGACTTGCTCCTGGAAAACAGAGTGCGCATACTGACCTCGCAGTAACCTAGCACCCTGCGCAAAAGCATGCCCCTGATAAGCGAGTGAGACGGTCTCAGGCTTTATGCTGAACTAGGGTACAGTGAAGCTTTCCGACAGGTTAAGAGTGCTTTAAAGAAAAAACTCCTATCAATGCAACATCTTTAGGAGTGAGCTGGGATACTAAATAACTTCTCAAGAGAGCTGAGATCCTAGAAGATATTTGAAAGTATTTTTCTCTCCTTGGGTCGTGTCTCAAAGTCTGTTTACTTCTTCAGATCCGAAGGCGCCTGATGGTGTCAGACAAAGGTCACCTGGAGTGGAAGAAGATGTACTCTAAGCTGATCCGCTGCTATCCTCGCAGAGAGGAATATAGTGACACCCTGCACTTCTGCACACACTGCCACATCCTTTTCTGGAAGGTAGTGTTGATGTTTTTTTTTTCCCCTCTCTCCTTTTGCACTTGATCAAAGTGGATATGAAAACAAAAATGTCACAACCATTAATAAATAAAGAGGAAAATAAACCATTTAATATTGAGCGTTGTGTGTCTTCTCCCAGGACACGAACCATCCCTGCACCGCAAACAACCCGGAAAGTTGCACCATGTCCCTCTCCCCTCAAGACTTCATCAACCTCTTCAACTTCTGATTTCCCCCCCCCCCCCTCTCCCCAAAGAAAAATCCAGATGAACTGACTGTACATACTGTACATAGAAATGTACAATATTGTTTTTTTGTTAATAGCACACTCTATTCCCGGATGTGTATTTTAGTTGAGGTTTGAGTGGAGGGGGCTCAGGCAGTGGGACAATGATGCAATGGAGATTCTGTTGAACCTCTGGGAGAGTTCCCAGTTGAAAGTGAGTGAATGTGACGGAGAGGAGAGGAGGTGCAGCAGTCGGCCTGTGGATAAAGGGAACACTCGGCTGTCAGAGTTAAGTCTTAGTTTAATGTGGTTGTTGAAATTGTACTCCGAAGAAAACACACCTCTTGACCTCAGACGTGTGCACTTATTTTTCCCGACTTGGGAATTTGTTTTTATTTTTGGAGGGTTTTCAACCCTTGTAATTGTTTTTTTTTTCGAGACAGGAAGTAGGAAGATTATTCCAACCCATTTGAAATTGTGATTTGTTTGATCCATTGCAAGGCCTGCTCACATGGGGGGTCTGCAATGTGTGTGAAGTTTAGATGTAGTTTACAATAGTATTGTTGGGCACTGGGATGGAGAGGCACAAGTCTTGAGTTACTGCAATATAAGCAATGGATCGTTAGAATGGGTGATAATTCTATGATAACATGGCACATCACAATGTTTTTTCCCTTTTCTTTGCTGTTTTTCACTTTTATAAAGATTTGATATGACTTTTTTTATTCTTGATGTTCTGCTGTGGCTGCTATAGCAGCAGCAGTGCCTGTGTGCAGTATTACCAAAGATTGTAATTAAATTCAACATAGCGATGGCGTGTGCCTTGTCATGAAAACTTGAAACCGGTACAGTTTAATCCTTGTTTGGAATGTTTTCAGATCCTGATGCTGTTTGTTTTTTTTATCATCAACGAATGTCTCATTTACAGAAGAGTGGTATTCAAGAAGGCTCTGATACCAAAGCTGACTTTCTGAAACATCTTATTTTTTTCTGTAGCCTCCTGCATGATTTTTTTAAACACCCAGCTGATAGTGTTTACTTATTTATTGAGATTCTAGCAAGGAATGGGAATATTGTTATTAAGGTGCAATTTGACCCAGACTTTCCTCTATCACTGCTCAGTGAGGAATGATGTACATGCTATGCAATGCGTTCTGTTTCTGTTGAATAAATAAAAGAAAACAACCTTACCGCTGCCATCACTTATATGTAGTCCTCTTAATGTGACTTTTACACACACACGCATGCACACTCTGTGTTGGGCAATCGCCTTTTCTTCAGATTTAAAATCCACACTGGCTTCTTTCTAGAGGTGAGCAGGAAGCCTGGATGCTGCTAATGGCAGAATGGTGCCCTCTACTGGAGAAATGATGAACTGCATGCTACTTTGTACATCAGGACATCAAGCTATCTTCATGAGAGATGAGGTTCTCTCTGCCTCAGATTTTCAATCACTGCTCAATCCTGAGTGTTTCTTTCCGGAGCAGAGAAATTAAACAGTACTTGGATGATGAAACACTGAGGCTCTAATTTAAAACAAAAAACCTGCCTCTGCAGTGTTGTTAAACCACAAAGGACTCTGGGGTATTCTGTGTTTATTAGACAGGCCTGCTGTTTAATAACTCTGTAGTTAAACATTGAGCTGCCTGAACAACAAACACTGTCTTCAAGTTTTAAAATGTCATTTTTGTTTTAATTGTTGCAGCAGTAACAGTTGAGGTAGGAAAAAAAAAAATATTTAAAAAGCAAATGAAACTTTTAGCATGACATTCAGACAATATGAACAGTGAAATAATTGTTTAAAGTTTTTAAATGAATATTTATACAAATATTATATAAACATTCACTTTACTAAGAAATATGATCATTGTAATTGCGTGTAAATCATCTGAAAAAAAAAGCATCTGCCACTGCAGCGTTGCACAAACAGTACTGCCCTGCTCCTCAGGGTGTGAAGGTAGCTTTTTGCAGAGAGGTTCAACATTTGGAAGCATCGTGTGTACGACTGGTAAAGTCATGAATGATTACCAAAGCAATAATACAAGGGCATAATTTAAGGCCTTTTAAAAGAAGGGGCAATGCTGCCCACAAAGACCGTCCACCTAACGTTTTACTGTACCGATCACAAAAGCCAAACATGTCATCTGCATCTTCCTCATGAACCCAGTTACAAATCTGCTGGCTTAAGGCAATATTGCCCAGATTTAAAAAAAAATCAAAAACACTGTATACTTATGCTTTGCAAGCAGATAAAGAAGGTTGTGTTAATGGTACATTCCCATCTTTTTTGTTGTTGAGATAAACAATATCATTTCTGTGAATTCCTACCTATCTAAAGCTGCATTAGCAAATGTATATCTGGCTACTACATTTCTTTTTTACTCCCCCCCCCCCCTGTCTTTTTCAAACTGCTATCATGCAAACACACCATCTACAGTTTGTGAGTCTTAAAACACATAATAAGCACCAGTAAAAACTGTTTTTGAACTCCCGCCATAGGAGTCGCCACTGAGAAATTACATCGGTTGAAATAAAAGTTATGACGTTTTTTTTGCATATTGTCATTGTATCATACTGTTTCCTTAAAAATGTGTACATATACGTGCTGCATCCGTCTTCCACATCTCCTCCACGGTATGCGGAGATATGATATGAGAGCAAAGGAAATGTGTGGTAGTGATGCTATATTCAAACCAGTAAAGTCTGGTAGGCTCATGGTGTTGACAGATGCCACCTTGAATGTCAAACCTTCAATGTATTCAGCGGTGGAGCTGGAAGGAAAAGTTTCCAGTTGGCCCCGCTTGCCTCGATGAGAACAGTCGTTTGCTGAGTTAGCATTAAGCAACACCTACCGGACTTGGGACCCACAACCCTTCAATCCAGCTCTGTAACCATTTCAGCTTTGGCAGCATTACCCCGTCAGTCTTAGCTTTCAGTGCATGGTGATGTAAGTACCAACTGCAGAGGATCCCGAGGTGCTGAGAACCCCCGGAGGTTTATGAGGTGTGAAGCGCGTAAAGTAGGCGTCGCTGTAGAGCTGCAGTCCTGCGTATGCAAACAAATGAGCGCTGAGCAATATGTGACGCATGCATACACAAATATAAGATTTTTTTGCTGTTTCGAGAGAAAACAAAATGAGTGGCGTGCTTATAGTAGTCTGGTAAGACTGAAGGTTGTGAAGAAAAGCAAGGAGAGAAGAGTTACCAGAGTTAGTAAATGTCACAGAGAGGTACGTTCTCTCTTTCAGAGTTCTGAATAATCCACTCAATAGCATCCCAACCCTACAGGTCCACACGGAGAAACAGAAGGTTAAAGAGAATTCAAAGGCCAAACACTGAAACAGGTGAACACCGCTGGGAATAGCAACTTCTGCCTGTGGGTTCCAGGAAGCACGCAATGAAACTGCAGAGACAGCAGAGTCCCAGTTAGAAGGCATGCAAAGAAATACTCTGCAATACTTTTGTAACTTCAGAGTACATGCAAAGGATAAAAGAAGTGTTACCTTACTGGCGTTAGCCGACATTCTCCTCGCCATCATCCCCTCCAGGTAACTGCTTAGACTCACTCCCTTGACTGTGATGATGGCCTCCTGGGTCAGGATGGTACTGAGGAGGGAGGGAAGGAGGATGAGGCCGAGGGTGAGTTTTCAGAAATAACATGAAGTTGAATAAATTGCGCAATGTACTTACACCTCTGGGTTGTCTGGGTGTGGTCTGTAAAGAAGCCTCTCGTCCACTGAAATCAGGTTGGTGAGAGTGATCTGGAGGATAACATGTATTTGGATTTCCTTATTTATGGGATACTCACATGGAATATTGTGATGCATATGAAGTTTTATTTGGACACAACAATTACTATATCCATGTACCATAGTATTTCCTGTGAATTGTTGTTTGTTATTTATTATTGATGAACACAAAAGCAGCACATTTTGGTGCATTATCATGTAGGTGATTACACAGTTTAATTTTAATGTTGTTGTGGCTCACCATCGCTACATGTACTGTGCAGCTGATGCTGATTGAAGTCGTGGCTGGCGGACAGACTCAGTATGAACTTACATTTGTTGAGCACAGCTCCATCTTTTTCTCCTCTGGGTCCACTATGGAGTGTTCCTTCACATACGTCTGCGTGTAGTTGGTTCCCAATATCTACGCACACGATAACACACAGCAAGTAAAATGAGCCCACATGTCGCTTGAACTGTGTATGTGGACATGTGCGTATACATATGTGTGTGTGTGTGTTGATGACTGACCGCTCGTACAATGCCCGGGAGGCCCCACTCCGTGCTGAGGAGCCTGTGGCTGTGCAGGCGCCCCTCTGTATCAACCCTGCGCTCCAGCACGTCCACCCCGACCACGTTAGGGTTCATGGGGTTCGGGTACTTCCTCATGGCAGCCTTGATCACCGTCTCCCATGGGTAACTGCGCACAAAAACAGTACAAAATAAAATGAAATGGGGAAGAAACATGTCAATCTTGTCTATTGGCTGACATTTTCTGGCAAGCTTTTGATAAACTGAATGTGTAGGAATATGTTTCATGATCTCTCGATGAAGTCAAGTGCACAGGGTTGTCCTTAAACAACTAAACTCACTTTCCTTATGTGCTTTTCTGGGACAAAACTGTGACCGGGAGGGTGTCTGCTGATGTTAAATGATCATCGTGATCACTCCTATAGAGCAGGTGGAATTTACTGACCACAATCAGATAGTAGTGAGCTTCAGAGTTTAATTAAATTCAGATTTATTTAACCTAGCCCTCCAATGACAGACCAGTCCACAGAGGACAATACAACGTCAATAAACCAACCTGAAAACATGTTCCGTGCTCCAAATCTTCATTTTTCACAACACAGGTCTTGACCTTATCGCTGCTGAGAAACCCTCCGTGATCCGACACTACGTTTCACCGGACCATTTTCATAAGAGGAACTAGCGTCGGTATTAAGAGCGCAGGGCCTATGATGGAAGCTCACGACCATCAATGAAGTGAGTCTGGAGTTCGCATCTCTCGTATTAGCCGTGCGTAAAGATTGCACAATGTGCTCTTCTGATCCCCACGTCACAGGACCAGCAGGAAGACAACATGTAGGCTGATTTATAGATTAAAACAACTAGCTCGTGCAGTAGAGGACAAGAGAGGAGCCGGTGCAACAGCGGAGCCACCAAATGTCAAGTCCGACAGAGTGAGATGAGGGATTCTGGTCAGGAATTTCAAAATAAACCCCATTTAATGACCTGTGGTCCTCAGCCTGGTAAACATGTAGAGCCTATGGATTTAGAATCAATATACAGTTTGAAGTTGGATGCTATAATGCTATTCACCTGTATCTATTGTACTGTGATGCTGACTCGTGTTTGATGTGTACATTTTTCTGCACAATAGTAGTTATTTTAGGAGACACGTTTCTTTTTGTTTTATTTTGAGGTCAAAACCAATGCTTTTCCTGCCTTTCCCTGGTTGAGTCTGGTCGACTCGACGAAGCGGATGCTGCTGCATCCGCCTCCATGTGTACGCATGCGCTTAGTATCTCTCCATCCTCCCGGTCAAGTGGAAAGGAGCGGAGCTGGACAGAATAGAGCAAGCAGGAAATGCAAATAAAAAAATTTGGTTTGGAGGCTGAGAGAAAGTTTGCACACGAGCTCCAACTGCTGCAGTAATCTACTACAAGGATAATGTAAACAATCATTATTTAAACTCCCAAACTCACTGCATTACCATTAATGTTTCAGGAGGGATTTAATTTAAGACAAGTGAGTGGTTGAATGATTATTGATATTAACAATAGCATAAGATGAGCATTATTATTATTTAATAATTACTATTGTTGTTATCATCAATCATATTTAATTGATGTTCATGGCCATTGTCTACTGTGCTTTAAGGAAAACCATCATTCTTTTTATTTTGAAGGTAAAATCGGAAGTGTAAGGTGTATTCTCTGTGCCTCGACGCGGGTGTGTGAGGGATCAGAGGAGGACTCAGGGAAGCAGACGCGCAGCGGAGCCTAGTGTGGTCCCTTAACGACATAATTCATGCCATCGCCGTTTTTTTCAGCGGTCCGTTTATTTCACCCTGGATGCGGAACAGTTAATCAAGTCATAGAGAACGAGCGCAGTCGATTACCACCCGGAATAACGCACACGGCGTGACCTTGCGTTGAATGTCATTTTAGACGGATTTTTTTTAAAGCACCGACACGGTAAGGTAATAAGCATCTTCATTTGCACGGAGCAGAATGCGAGACCAATGTCGATAATACGGGATCGTATATGTTGCCTGTGTGGAGTCGTGATTTGAGACCACGTTTGTCTTTCATGACCGTAATCGTGTTTTTTTTTACAGATGTAAGACGGAAACAGCTCAGGCATTTTTGAAAAATGATATTGATGATGGGACTCCTCAGGCAGGCTCCCAGTTGAAGGCCGGACTGCATACTGCAGATTGCAAATATTTGGCATTCAAATAGTTCATAATCCTATTGTCAATATATTTACCGAAGCCAGAGGAACACACAATATTTGGTTAATTTCATTTTGATTTTGACAGTGATGTAGCCTACGGTTTATTTTCATAGTAGTTTATGCGGACAGCGCGTGCAGGACTAAGGCAGATGCTGCAGCAGCGCTTGATCCGCTCCAGGCGGGAGAGAGAGAGTCAGAGATGGTGGGGGCGGGGGGGGGGGGTGGCAGGGTGTCATCTTTTTAGGGATCATTCAATCACACTTATCAACATATGCGTCAGTCTGGCACTGTATAGGAGATGACCCATTTCAATGTGAAAGTGGGGCACGAGGCCTCCACACCCCCACCCCCACACACTATAAGGACCACCAGGTTGGCTGGTGGACGTGCTCACGCCAAAAAATCTGCTGACACATGCGCTCTGCCGGCCGGTGCTCCCAGCCTTTGTGCGCAATGAAGCCTATAGCCCATCTATCATGGCCTGGGGCCACAGGCTCCTATAGGCTTTAAACTGGCCTCCTGTTAGCCTGGGTTCGTTTCTCTTACAGCTTCATACTATTTAATGATCAATCATTTAAAAGTGTTGTTATTATTGTTATGTTGCAGTTTAAAAAATAGCATGGCTAGGGTTCTTACTTGTTCACCTCAGTTGAAAGCTGAGATTTCAGAGGGCTCCATTCTCACGTCTGTCTCTTTCATTTCAGGTCATTGGCCGCAGAGATGGAGATAGTCAGACATTTAATTAATGACACCATAGAGTTCTACAAATGGACCCTAACCATTGCAGGTAACAGTCTTGTATTTTGGAGAAATGGTGTTTTTCAAGTAACTGAATACTTAAGTTTACATCTACAGGTAGGTGGTTTTCCTGCAATGAGTCAGTAAATGGACGGTGCTTTGGTGGGAATTTGATCAAGGATGAGTCAAAGTTGCACCACAGTAGAATAATGTGTGTATGTGCCTGGACATATATTGATATGAAATATGCAGTATTATATATATATATTATATATTAATATATTCTCAATGTGTCTTGTCTCGCTTTACTCCGTCATTCGTATCTTGTTTTTATGACTGAAGTGGAATCAATACACAATCTTTCCTTTTTCATTACCTACTACATCGCTGAATGGATATTGTATCTTTCACCTCATAAGCGAATTATCACATCACATGCACCAATAAACTACATCAAATTGACCTCCAGACAGACAGGTCACCTCTGGACAAAAAGGTGGCATCTGTACTCCTATTGCATTTGACCTGCACTCCTCTTAAAATAAGCTGACACCGAACCCACGCTGTAACAGCGTAATGTGAACATTAAGAATAGTTATGTAATGCTATGTGAACATCTGTCCCACAGACAAGCGAGTGGCGAAATGGCCTCTGATGAACAACCCCCTGCCCACGCTGGCCATCAGCACCTCCTACCTGCTATTCCTCTGGCTGGGGCCCAAATACATGAAGAACAGAGAGCCCTTCCAGCTCCGCAAGACCCTCATTGTCTACAACTTCAGCATGGTCTTTCTCAACTTCTTCATCTTTAAAGAGGTAGGTAAATATTAACTATATGTTCCCCCTGAGTTAAGACTAACCTTATCACAGCGCATCCAGCTTTCTTCCTCTCACTGTGTCTCTCTGCCTTTGTTGTTATGTCAGTGATTCATGAAATATTATCTTGTTTTTTTTAGCTGTTTATGGCAGCGCGGTCAGCGAGCTACAGCTACATCTGTCAACGGGTGGACTATTCAGAGGACCCCAATGAAGTCAGGGTGAGTGTTTTTTAAGTGAAAATGGAACATTACCACAATGGACTGCACGGCACCTGCCCTATTGTGTCACTTCCTTTCTTATGGTTTGTGTGTGTGTGTGCTGTAATTAGTTTCCAGGAGTAACGAGGCACCTCTGCTCTTTGACTGCGACGTAACATGTTACATGTTTCTTTATCATTTGTACTCAAATGATGAAGAAAAATCCTCGTCTGCGGTGCCATGGGAAGCTTCACTTTCAGGGTTTTTTTAGAAACATGACCAACATCCGCTCATTTGGACCGTGCTCCTGTTATTAGAAAAAGTGCGAGCTGGAAGAGGGCTCAAGGAAGGTGTTCAGTTTCACCTTCCTTCCTACTGCTCCGTGACGTAGTTACACATCTGACACAGTCAATGGGTCTCAGGTGACCCTGAGTTTGAGATGTTGGATAGAATAGATCAGTAAAGAACTGAAACTATTCCCTCAAGGAAGTGCAAGTATGTGTGGAATTCTGTTGAGTCGAGACAGCTTCATATTTGATTATACAACAAGTTAGAAACGAGAGTCCAATTGAACTACTCCTCTACTTCTCTAACTGTCTGCGTTTCCCTGTTGGTTTCTATTTCCTTCCTCCACCCGTGCCTGTCTTCAACCCATTTCTCCCGTTCTGCCCGAGACAGGTGGCAGGAGCTCTGTGGTGGTATTTCATCTCTAAGGGCATCGAGTATCTGGACACGGTGTTTTTCATCCTGAGGAAAAAATTCAACCAGGTTACTTTCTTGCATGTCTACCACCACTGCACCATGTTCACTCTCTGGTGGATCGGCATCAAATGGGTGGCAGGAGGACAGTGTGAGTAGCTCATGCTACAGTGGAGTCCTACATGATGCCCTATGCCTACTTTTACCTATAATTGAATACATCTTTACCCCCTATTTCCTTTAGCTCTAGTTAAAATGAACATTTAATGTTGGACTCAAAGGTCTTGATCATGTTTTTGTTTTTTGCTCCTGATCTTTTCATACTGAGCAATTGTGGTCGTTTTGTAATAAGACGGAAGGAAGAGTCTTTTACATGTATGTGCCCTTTGTGTCACAATCACCAACAGCACAAACAACATCTTGCAGAGACATAAATACATAATCCATCACAGTGGACAATTTGCCAAATCATTTTTTTGTTACGTAATCTTTGTGTGTTAATGCGGCTGGAAAATGAAACAATAATGTGAAGTATTCACAATTTCTCGCTATATACACCAAATACCATTATTGTCCTTAAATTCGAAATAAAACTACAATAAAGTGTTCAGAAATCAACAAAATTTGTGCAATTAAATTGTGTTCTAGCACCACCGTTAGCATGGCAAAACTAATATCAATATTCAAATTTTCTTTCACCTGCAGCGTTCTTTGGGGCCCACATGAACGCAGCCATCCACGTCTTGATGTATCTGTATTATGGCCTGGCCTCCTGTGGACCTAAGATCCAAAAGTACCTGTGGTGGAAGAAGTACTTGACCATCGTCCAGATGGTAAGATGTCACCTCACTGTGCGGCTAATTTGAATAAAAATGTAGTCCTTTTTACATGTTTTGGAAGGTTGATCTCACGCCACGTTTTACTCACTGAAATAATGATTCTCAGGTTTAAAGGTGTGAAAGAATTACACGACAGCAACGCAAAAATGTGATTGTCTTTCTTTGTGTCTCAGGTCCAGTTCCACGTCACCATCGGCCACACAGCCTTGTCCCTCTACGTCGACTGCGACTTCCCCCACTGGATGCACTACTCCCTCATCTGCTACGCCATCACCTTCATCGTCCTCTTCGGCAACTTCTACTACCAGACCTACCGCCGCCAACAGCCCAGACGTGACGCCTCCTCCTCCTCCAAAGGGGGCAAGGCCCTCTCTAACGGGACCCTCAACGGGCTCGGCAAGGCCGCCAACGGAGCAGTGGTGGCGGGGAGCAAAGAGGAGAAGCCCCAGGAGAGCTCTGGGAGGAGAAAGAGGAAAGGAAGAGCTAAACGAGATTAGAGAGAGGCGGAGGTGAGGTAGGGCCTTGCTTTGGGTTCTGGGTTGATAGTGCTAAAACATGAAAGACTTCATTTGAGCAAGATTTAGATGGATGGATGCGTTAAGGTGTGATGTGTTTATTTAAGCCATGATCTGAGTTGTTGTAGATAAATTATGAGACAGGCTTGTGTTGAGAGAGGATCATTTTGTTAGTGAGAGGTGTTAAAGGTCATGCCCAAGGTGTCACACATAACCTAAAATACAGTAGTGTATGGTTCGGGATAGATCTTAGTATTCCTTCTCTTTATGGTGGTGCCACGGATCTGGTTCAAAAAGTGACTTTCAGCTACTTAAAACTGAGCCTGGAAAGGAAACCAAGACCATTTGGCATGCTGGGAAAGCTACATCAAATGTTCCTGAGCTGCTAAATGATATACCGTTCATATTGTTACTGCTGTATTGAGACAGGAATACACAAAACGCACACAAACATGCCAATTTATATTTGAGCTCATCATTTTTTTTGTTGTTGTTCACCTTTACAGATATAAAGCTGATGATGATGTACAGTATCATGTCATTTTGACCTCATCGTATTCACGTTTTTATTGATGTTACGTGAGAGAAACTTACGTTTACAGTTCTTGTTTACTGAATAGACACCTCGGTACGGCAGTCCTCCACTTATTTGTGAACACGCACTTGTCTTATTTTTTCTTATTTATTTGAAGTTGTGGACTCAGCTGCCAGTCACTTTTGAGCTGCACAGTTACATTCTAAACAAGGAAAGCAAATCAATATCCAGAGGTGAGATGTACATAGAAATAGAAATGAAAGATTTCTAATCCTTTGAGACTTGGATGGGATTGTTCCAGCACTGGTTTATGATGGAATAATCATCAACTGTATCTCAGAGAAGGTTACAACTTAGATTTTCTATTTCTGTACATAACCATAGCAGGTTTTATATATCCCTACTTGTATGTAATGCTTTGAAATGTAATGAATATCATCCAGAGAAATGGTGGATCTGATGATTATATCAACGTTCCCCCGTTTTGACAGAAAAGCTGGTGGAGTTTTGTCTTTGCAGATGTGTACCTGTCTTTTTCTATTATATCTGACGTCATTGTTCGTCTTAACATGCTGGTGAAAATGTTGTGTGCCGAACAAAGAAGTGGTGGTAGAGAATTCAGAAGTAACCGCCAGTTTTTATCAAGTTAACTGAGTCTACCTTGAGTACCATTTCTTCCCATATTCAATCAAATATCTTTTTGTGTCTATGTTTTCAGACTTAATGTCTGTCCTGATCTGGCTTGAATGTAAATTTATCAGGGGAAAATTTGGATTTAAAAGTATAAAAGGTATGATTGATATACAAAAGGAGCTGGTGAACCTCTATAGTGACTTTGTATGTTATACCACTATGAAGTGCTCTGCCTGTAGTATATAGAGCATAAATCAGTGGTCGGCTGTATGTTGGCAAATCGAGCTTCATGTCATCCATTTATCAATGCATTTTGATGTTATTTATTGTTTTTTTATTTATTTATTTTTGTGTAAATACCAATGTTCATGTTACTGAGAGTGCTTGTCTGTGTATTTGTGTTCTTTTTGTGTTGTACATATTACATTGTGATATTTTGTACAATGCGCATTTGGGAATGTTCCCAGCTTGTTAGCTCGGACATTTATATGTCCACACTGCTTCCGTGTTTTTTACTTTGAACTGTCTTCAAATTCAATTAAACTGAATGCCTGTACAAAATGCGTGTTTCCTCTTGCCACTTCATTTAAATACTTTACATGTATACTTTACATTGTGGTAAATGTCATGGGTATTTAACAATAATTTACATTGTTTGGCATTCTATGTGTTTCTTGATTGGTGGTGTGAAAAGACAATAATGGTAACATATGTGCAGATCGGGTTTCCAACACTAGAGGGCGCCATAGTTACTTTACAGTCTGCTCGCTATGTTCCCCACCTTTTTAGCCATCCACTGTAATTATGGAAGAGATAAAAAAAACGTCATCATGTTTCATGAAGTGAGGAGAGCAACATAATCACTCAAAAGTTTTGATGGACGTATGTGAACTTCAATTCCTGGTTGTCAGTTTGGTATTGTCTTGGTGTATCTAAACGTGTTACACTCAGGCAGCCCCACATAATAGGGATGGCACTCACACACTAATGTTTCTGTGCACTTCTATCTGTAAGAACCCAGTGCTAGAAATTATCTAAGTATATTTACTTAAGTGCTGTACTGTAAGACATTTTTTGAGGTACTTAGCTGGAGTATTTTCTTTCAGCTACTTTATACTTCTTCTCCGCCACATTTGAGATACCGGAGCTTCTTGAGCTACTAAAGCTGTAGGTTTTACAGACATAAATATGACTAACATATTACATGAAACACTACTTGCAGCATCAGCGATAATAATAATTATATAGCATACAATATTTTAACACTCTCAAAAGGGTCCTTCAGCCTAATTAGTACTTTTTTGTTTGATACATTAAGTACATTTAGGTAAGAATACTGCAGGAGATATTGTTGTAATGGAGTAGTTTCACATTGTGGTATTGCTACGTTTACTTGAGCACATAACCACAATTGTATTCCACAATTGTTTAAGCCAAACCTCCAAATCAAAAATGCTTGTGTAAAATGTGTGTCGTGTTGCAGCTTCACTTTTTGCCATGAATGTCTGTTTGCCAGTTTTCCATATTTATTATCAATAATCCATATTTATGACGAATAAACATCAAAATCTGCAGCGGTATAGAAGTGTGCTTCCAATATAGGGCGGGGTCATGTCTGTCATGTCATGAGTCATATGATGCTTGTCTGACACGCTTGATAATAAAGATAATAACAGTGATGAAGGTAAATCTCTGGAAACCTGTTTGGCAGCCAAAGACAGAGAAACCTTTTAAAATTCAATTTATACGACTGCTCATCCCATCCCGGAATTCTCCTCCCATTTTGACAATTTCAGACAAAGGTATCCATGGTAACTGTACACAGCAGCTGTCTGACCCCCCCCCCCCCCCCCGTTGCTTCTTGAATCAGCTGTGGTCTATGTGGGAAACAGCACCAGCACAATAAACTATTAAATGGTGTTTCAGTGCTTGTGTGTGTCTGTGTGTGTGGGGGAGGGTTTATTTGTGTGAGTGTGTGTGTGTGTATGTGCAACCCCCCCCCCCCCCCCCCCCCCCAGTCTGTGAGTGGGAGGCCTCCACTAGCAGAGGGGTATTACATGGATGATGTTGGTGTTATTCCTCAACGCAGAGCCATCATTTCACAACTCTGTAACAGAAAACTGTAACCTCCTCAGCAACATTTCCCTTGGATGGTGGCCCCATATCCCTCCAACCGTTTCAGCCCTTTCCCCGAGTTTCTCCAGCTTGGCACATCTCTGCCATTATGTCTCTGGAGGTTTCTAAAGGACAAATGATTTATAGATGCTGAATTTTCATTGGCACTGAAATGCCTTGCAGTGCTTTTAGAAAATAAGCCATCACACATATTTCATATACCAAACTTAATGGCAGATTTGGCCTGCATAGCATCGCTGGCCGTAGTGTAGGTATGCCAGCTCATGTGTTATGAGTTAGTTGTATTAGTGTAACCTCATTAATGTTTTCAACCTCATGTCAATCAATGTAATGTGTTTATTCAAATGGTGGTATTGAATAAAACAAAATGATCGCACTCTTTTCTATTTCTCCACACGGCACATGAAATAGAGCATAAGTGCTAAATCCAGAAGTCTATGTGCTTGTGTACTGAGAGGATTCAAATGGCCACATCAACATTTATATATGTCTGTATCTGTGCAGATGTGTCCCATGTGGATTTCACAGCAAAGTAACAATTTCCCTGCCTGTCAGAAGCTCAGCTGATATCTGGAGCACAACAACTGAGACTGGCGTGTTTTTTATGTCGCATGGGAAAAACGTATTGCACCAATAAGGCACTACAGCTTCACAAAGCCCTCCACTGCTAACCTGCCAGAACAAAGGCTTAAAGACTTTTTCATTACCTTTCCCATGGCATGTCATTATTCTAAGAATGATTATTAATGAATAATGAAGCAATGAAAATATCTGTGTATGACTTATCTTACGTGAGTATTTGCCGCCCTGATGCTTTTTCTTTTGCAGAAAAATAAAGTGGTTTACACTGTATTTTAAGGCACATTTATATGTTTCATGTCTTATAATAGAGACATAATAGGTACATGTACCAAACTTCATGTGGAAAGGATTAGTTGATGTGAAATGCTTATATATGTTTTATTTAGAATAATACTAGACATTGCAGTTTAAAAAACAGGGAACCCAGCACGGACACTACAAGATGACACTGCAGATTATTCCTGACTGCGACACAGCTGGGATCCCCGTCTACACATGGTGTTACAGTGATGATCCCGGGTAAGGGTGTTAGTGAATAATAGAGAAAGTGAGAATGAGAGAGAGTCTTGGGAGTGTGAAATGAATGAGTGTGATATTTTTAGATGTTCATTAGTTCCTCTCTCTCTCACACACACACACAGCTAACAGGCTCTCACCAGTGAATGCTGTGGGACGAAGGACTGGGAAGTGAAAGATTTACCACTCAAGCTAGACACACAGCAAAAAAGAAATGTTCGTGAAACAATGGCAAGAATTGTTGTTGAGTGAACTGCCTGTTTATTACTGTAGAAAATATCCACCTTAACAAGTTATTCAGTCTCATATCAAGTCTTTTCCTGTGATGGGATGAGTGCAACATTGATATAAAGTGTTTTGAAAAAAAAGACAAGATAAGGTGATTCAATCCAGGATCCAAATGGATTCATACTTGAATATACATGTTGAAATTTAAATTGTCAGATTAAATGTAATAAATTCAAACTACGATGATGTAATTAAAGAAACTGATGTCTTCTCAGTGCATTAAATGACCATTTCCGAGCCAATCATTACCTTCTTTTGTTTTTTTACACCATGACAAAGAATCTCTCCAAAGGTCTGCCACGTGGGAGCCTCCATGATGCAGACATCTGTCACTTTAATGCACACAAATGATTGAATAGTCCAGGGGCAGAAGGCGAGGATAGGTGGGGGAAGTGGTGAATGTGTGTCACTGTGAAAGGGAGCGCAAGACCCCAAACATCTGTTATCCCATTCGGAGAAGATGGATTATAATTCCTCACCAAAACTGGCTGATTGCCCTTGCAACATCTTGTCTGGCAATTAAGTTGTGATTACAACAGAGAGCAGTCTTAATTCTGAATGGATCAAGATATAGTGTTGTAAAAGCCTGCAGTGACAGAAGCAAATGGATTGCACAGGAGGTGTATGTGTGTGTGTGTGTGTGTGTGTGTGGGTGGGAGCTATGGTTACTGAAGCCTCGACAGAAGCTAAAATCCATGCCATAAAACTTTCAGAGCAGAGACAATCCTAGCTTTCAATTCACATCAATCCCTGACACTGCCTGCAAATTTAGGCCTACTTGTTATTATACTTACACAGGGATGATGCATGCAACACCAGACTGCCTCCTTTGCAGTGTATTGTTAAATGACCAGCCATTTCAGATGGGTGTGTTTACTTTATATAGGCACAGGGCCAAGAGTTAAAACTCCAAATGTCTGGTGAGATGGGTCTGGCACGCTGCAGTATAATTCAATCACAGTGCCGATGCCTCGAGTATGAGAAACCCATGAGAGTTGGAACTGTTTCCAAAAAGGATAAATGCTCCTCAGTAACCATTTCCACTGGAAAACCTCTCACATGAACCTGTTTTCTAACCAAATCCACTCTCATTTCACATTTCCGTTTCCTCACAAACACAGATTCAAACAAATTCTGGGAGAAATGAATGCAGGCAGAACTCCAAATGACATTTCTGATTTATCCCTTGTCAACATTAAGCATAGGCCCATCCCCCCCAATCCAAACACTGAAGACTTTGACAAATGATTCCTGGGCATTCACGCTTCAGTTTATTTGTTTTGAGAAACAAAGATGAGAGATGGGAGAAAGAGGGCAGCAGCTAAGAAACAATAACAACATAGAAACATGATGACCAAAATGTTGGATATTGTCACAGAGGACGATGCTGTGCCTTTGGAAAATAAAACATATTCTACAACTTTGGAAAAGTCACAGTCTCCCTCGTGGTCAATTTAAATCCATACACAAGGTAAATTCAAATGACTGAATGCAAGGTGAATGTAGTTCCAAGTGGCCACATCAAATCACTTTTGGGAGAGACAGAGAGAGAGAGAGAGAGAGAGAGAGAGAGAGAGAGGGAGAGAGAGAGAGAGAGTATAATGTCTTCTTCCAATGAGAGCAGCCTGCATGCGTGCAGCTCTATTTCCGTGCCGCCCCGGCCCTCCCAACGATGATGTAATGTCATGAATATTGAAACAGGTTGCTTGGTGGTCGGGAGGCGCTCGAGTCAGCATCCCTTCTGCCTCCCCATCACCACTATACCCTTCAGCACTCGACAAAACACCCAGAGAAAGGTAAGAAATTCATCTGCTCCATGATTTCCAGGTGATAATCTTATTTCTTTGAGCATACATGTTTGTTTTAGATGGATGTGACAACAGTAATGTGTATGAAGGGCAAATGTCTGAACGTGGTCCACGTTATGTTCTATACTGTCAGGCCTCCTTGATTTACTGTTGCTGCTCCCAGTTGTTTGTGGGTAGAAGACACGGAAACGGAGCTATACGATTTCTTCATTGTTTTGACTTATTTATTATTATTTATTGGATCAACGCTGAGTGAGAGATTGTGTGGCAGGTAGTCGATTTGTTGGTGCTTTTAAAACCAAAGAGTCAAAAGAAAAAAAGGCATTACTTGTGATAACTGTGAAACATGTCGCTGTGTCCGGTGCTTCTGGTACTTTTATAGCTTGAGTAATGAGTCATCGGGCATGTTGGATATGAGGAGTAGGATGGTGGCTGACGGGAAACGGCAGAAGTCCCGGAAGCCTGGATGTGGCTCAAGTAATATCAAGTAGCAGGACCGTCCTTTGTGTCCTTTGTGTCGATTGAGGATCAGATCAGAGGCCACTCAAAACCTTAATTCTGCCAACTGAACAGGCAGGGCGGATTAAAATTGGCTGGCTGCTGCTCCAGATTTAATAGCTAATGACATTGCCTTCTCTTTGCTCTCTCTCTCTCTCTCTCTCTCGCGCCCATTGCCCTTTAGGCAGCACACGTGACGCAAATTACTTTCTAATTGCCCGAGCTGCAGCTGATCTCTCACTCGTCTCCTCAAACAGGGGCTGAACGGCCGGCTGCATAATCACTGGTGGTCACGTAGCCTACCCGTAGGGGCGCTGTCCTATTAGACCTGCTTATGTTTTAAAAAAAACCACAAGGATGCGTTCTGGAATGCCTGTTTTTAATATCTTATTTAACATTTAGCTTTTTAAGTCTAGTCCAAGTAACAAGCTCGCACTATTCAGCCGACCTGTAGAGGATAACCTTTTCTTATTGGGTGTTGTTTCGCCGTAATCCTATCCACATTTGTAGCCTTTGGGTCTGAAAAGTCTATTGTTTTTTTTCCAGCTGCGGGGATACGGGTGAAGGGGATGGATGTTGTTGAGGATGAGCTGAGCCTTTGACACCACGATGAACTCATCCTCTGCCGACTCCCCGCGGCAGCCAGACAATAGCAGCCGGAAGCAGCCGCGGTCGTCGTCTCCGGCTGGGCTCAAAGACGGTGGATCTAAAGCTACACAGAAGGGCAGCAACTCGTCAAAGCCCATCACGTCAAAGCAAGGAGCAGGAGGAGGAGGAGGGAGAAACAGCCGAGGTCATTCTCCCGTCTCCGCAGGCAGGGAGCGGCAGGCCACAGGCGCTCCTGCCGTCAAAGGCGCGGCTGCTGTCCAGGCTGCCGGTGCTGAAAGCCCGACGCTGAGCAGGACCGCGGCGGCGGACAGAGGTGGCATCGACACACCGGAAGACTCCCCCCGCCTTGTCGTCGGTGCCTCCTCGCCCTCCAGAGCAGATCCGAACCGCGTCGTCTCCGATCAGCCTTGCGCATCCAAATCCCCAAAACTGAGGAGCAAAACTTCGAGAGGTGGGGAGGCCGCAGCGGCGACGGCCACGACGAGCGGCAACAAGAAGAGCTCCAAAAGCACGATAGGCTGCGGGCCCGGTTTCTGGAAGGAGGGATGCTTGCAGTCCGAGCTCATACAGTTTCATTTGAATAAGAGCCTGGGGAAGAAAGGGACAAAGATGCAGACGAAATCAGCGACACCGCCGGCCCAGGAGCCGGAGCTGTCCCCCGAGCCAGACCGTCCACAACCGGCTCCACAGCCAGACCAGATGCTACAAGAAGATATTGAGAAGCTGGAGGATGAAAACGACGATCTTAAGGTAAATTGCTAATACATTACAAGCCTGCCAATTTATATTTGTTTAGAAGTCGTCATTTTTAGCGTGCGCAATTGTTGCACCTGTTGAAGGATTTGCTTGCAGGTTGAATAGCGACTACTGTACGTAGCTGCATGCTTTGTCTTTCTTTACAAATGTGTTTTTAAAAGGGCCCGACCAATTCTATTGGGGGGGGGCAAGTTAGATTTATTTATTTTGAGACAAATTTTCCATTTCCCTCTCCGTGTTTTGCAAGGCGGAAATCGAGGAGATGCGTGCAGAGATGGATGAGATGCGGGACACCTTTTATGAGGAAGATGCCTGCCAGCTGCAGGACATGCGCAGAGAGCTGGAGAGAGCCAACAAGAACTGCAGGATCCTTCAGTACAGACTGAAGAAGGCCGAGAGGAAAAGGCACCGCTTCGCAGAAAGTGGCGAGGTGGATGGAGAGCTGCTCAGAAGTCTGGAGCAAGACCTCAAGGTGAGTATGGCGGGTTAAGCATCATTCTGTGAGCACATTCTAACATATGGACCACGAGTAACAACAACTTCTTTCTTTCCTTGTGTCTCTGTGTCATCTGTCTGGGTCCCTCTCTCAGGTGGCGAAGGATGTGTCCGTGCGCTTGCATCACGAGCTGGAGAATGTGGAGGAGAAGAGGACAAAGACAGAGGACCAGAATGAGAAGCTGAGGCAGCAGCTGATACAGGTGGAGGTCACCAAGCAGGTCCTCCATAATGAATTGGAGAAAAGCAAAGAGGTGAAGGGCTGGGAGTGTGTTGTGTGTGTGTTTTTTTTACCTTCTGTTTTTGTGTGCTTATAAATGTGTAATGCAAATTCTATCCTGCTGTATGAAAGGTCAGGTTGAGGATAGATAAAGTGTTTTAATGGCAGTAATGGTGCATTCCAGATTTATGTCCTATTTCCTTTTTAAGATTAGTGCGATACACATACTTACAAACATGACACAATGAATAACAAGTTATTTTTGGGGGTCTTTTTACTTCCAGCCGGTAAAATCACACTGTGATTTCAATTTGAATATTTCACCACAAATGTTCTCGAGGGTGGCTTTAAACAGTCCTGTTTTTCCAGTACTGAGCCTTCACTGCTCCAAAAGAGTTGGATGATATCACTGCTTTCAGTAAGAAGACAGAGAGCTGCTGCTGCTGCTGCTGCTGATGTAACCACTGTTTCCCTGCAGCTCTCACTGAAAAGAAAAGGAAGTAAGGATGGACAGAAAGCAGAGAGAAAGACACCACAGACCCCCATCGAGGTGAGTCAGCATTTACAATATTAGATCATAAAGTCCTGAACTTCAGTGGAGGTGTTTTAATACTGAGGTTGTTTTGCAATGCAATTTTCAAATTAAAACAAAATGTAATATGCACAGGCATCAGATTCCTCATTTGTAGTGAGTGAAAGTAGCATGAGGAGAAACATGACTTCCACAACATTACGATATGAGGCAATGAAAGTGATCCCAGGAATATTGATTTTTTTTTAATGCACGGTTCCAAACTAATTAGAATGTACAAGAGACGTAGCTATATAGCTAACAAGTGTATTTTCTTCTACACACCTCTCTTCTCTCTCCGCAGGAGGAAAATGAGGATCTGAAATGCCAGCTGGCCTTTATCAAGGAGGAAGCCATCTTGATGAGGAGAAAAATGGCAAAGATTGACAAGGAGAAGGATCGACTGGATCAGGAGGTGCAGAAGTACCGCTCCTTCTACGGAGACGTGGACAGCCCTCTGCCTAAAGGGGAGGCTGGAGGGCCACCCACCACCCGCGAATCGGAGCTGAAACTCCGCTTGCGCCTGGTGGAGGAGGAGGCGAACATCCTGGGGAGGAAGATTGTGGAGCTGGAGGTGGAGAACAGGGGGCTGAAGGCTGAACTGGATAACATGAGGGAGGACAGGTACTTTGCTTTCATTCATCAGTTTTTGATTATTGAAACAGAAGGAAAGACTGGATGAAATGTAGTGATAGCTGTAATGGAGAGGAAAAGCATAATATACCCATATTGGGGAGAATTCAGTTAATCCGTAATTTTGGACAATGAAAATATAGTTCATGGTTTAACCAGACAGTATAATGAAACTTTTGTTGAAAAGAGGGTGCTGTAAATTCAATGTCACATTTGTCAATGCGCCTTTCCTCTCCTAGTCTGGCGGCAGCAGGAGTGGACAGCTCTGGTATTGGAGGTCAACAGTGCAGAGAACAGGGCGAGGTCCTGTCAGAGCTGAGGCAGCAGCTTCAGCTGGTGGAGGACGAGGCAGAGCTTCTCCGCAGGAATTTAGCAGATGTGGAAGAAGAGAACAAAAAGGTAGATGGTTTAGACTGTGCTCCAAAAAGGACCAATTTGCTCAACAGTTCCACTGTATTGTTGCTGTAAGATCAAAGGACAAAACTACTATAGTGTGACAAACTACTTCATAACTTGTATGGAAATGCTCCTCTTTAGTTTCTCTGTCTGAGACTGCTATCTGTTCGCTCTCTATTTGAAGCCTTGTTAAGCATCGTGAAGTCTTAAATATTTCTATCAAAATGGCAACAGACCTTAACAATATAAAATATAAATGTTTTCTGATATTACTTGGCAACTTACTGCTGTTTTGATTTCAGCAATGAAAGATGTGAAGTGTCTCCCATTTCCTTGTGTATGTGGTGCTATTATTGGTATCATCTTCAATGACTTCGGGCCTTTCATTAAAGCCGTCTGTTAACTAAGCCTCATACATAAGACATTTAAAATGTGTGAAGTAATACTTGCAGCAGTGAATACGCATGGGAATAACATTCAGTTTCATCTTTAGGTGACGAATGAACTCAATAAACTGAAATACAAGGCAGGATCCCATGAAGCAGGATCGAGACATGGAGGTTTGTTTGTCTTTCATGAAGTCAATGTTGCAGGAGACAAAATAACTGCACTGCAGAGCAAGACATATCTCTTCTTTTTTTTAGCTTGATGAATCTGTATCTGATGAAAAACATGTGTTCACAAGGCCTCCATGGAGCTGCACGCTTTAAGTCTCATTTGCAGAGGTGCTCCACTTTTCATTGTTGCCTTGTTTCACCCCCAGGAGGAGCCGACTCCGCTAAACTGGAGGCCGTCCAGGAGGAGCTGAAAGCCGCACGTCTGCAGATAAATGAACTGAGTGGCAAAGTCATGCAGCTCCAGTACGAGAACCGCGTGCTGCTCTCCAACATGCAGCGCTACGACCTGGCATCCCACCTGGGCATCCGCAGCAGCCCCCGAGACAGTGACGCAGAGAGCGACGGGGGACGGGACGACGACACGCCCTCGGCCTCGGCGGCCCCACCCCGCCTCCTCCCTCCCCCGCGCAAGCGCGAGGGCCCTATCGGAGGGGAGAGTGACCCGGACGAGGTGAGGAACATCCGCTGCCTCACACCGACACGTTCCCTTTACTCACCTGTAGAGAGTCGTTTTTTAGCCAGAAGCCTGAAGGACCGGCAGCAGATGATAGACATCCGCATAGAGGCGGAGAGGCTGGTTCGGACCATCGACAGGCTCATCACTGACACCAGCACTATCATCGCCGAGGCCCGAGTGTACGCCACCAACGGGGAGCTCTTTGCCAGGCTGGATGAGGATGAGGAAGGTGGCAGGTAATAAACACAAAGTGGTTAGGCTCCACACCGTATTTCCCCCTCACACTTTGTTTAACTAGAATTCCAAGCGACATTTCAAGTCCAAACACACTCTTGTGCTCCCCAGGATCAGAGAGCATGAGCTGCTGTATCGGATCACCGCCCAGATGAAGGCCTTCAAGAAGGAGTTGCAGAGCTTCATAGACCGGCTGGATGTCCCCAAACAGGAGGATAAACAGGCAGAGGAGCCACTGTCTGTAAGTTGATGCAAACATATAAAATGATTGACTTTAATGACTGCAGTTTCTGTGTTCTCTAATATGCTTGTTTCTTACGTGCCAATCTGCCTCTGCCCCCCAACCTTTTCATTTAACCATCACACATCCAGATGTTTCAGCCCATTATTTTGCTGATCCTCATTCTTGTTCTGTTTTCCTCACTCTCTTATGCCACCATTTGTAAATTGGTATTCCTTTTCACCCTGTTTTTTGTTCTGTAAAGCACACCCTCGATATCATATTGTGTACATTTTCATTATTTCTTTTTTACTTATACATTTATTTCAATTCTGTTATTTTGAACACGTCACACAAGGCCACTCAAGGTACAGGACATTATCATTTTCCATGTGCGATCCAAGCCACTCATCTACTCGGATGCTTTCAACATTTATTGGAGACCAAACACCGTGGAGCGACAGTGTACCGTTAGGTGAGTATGTCCTTAAACTCTCTGGCTGTGAGTAATGACATTTTTTTCTGACAATCTGAGTTCTGTACTCACACAGTTGTCTTCACCTATTCTGCCTAAGTTGACACTTATCCGGACTGTGTGGGCGTGTACCGACTATGCTTGATTGTCAACTGTCTTATTAACTGACATTATTTTCAGTCTTATTAATACAAGTGGGGACATTATTAATTAATTCATGGCATAGCTCTGTCCAATTTCAACCTGAGTAAAGGTCCTATCAGCCACAATAACTGAAAACACCTGGGTGTGCAGGGCCTTATATTAGATTTTAAATGTTATGTTGTGGTGAAACATGACTTTTTCCATTTTATCGAGTGTCTTTTTATATTTTGTATGGCTCTGTTAAGCCAAAAGGTCATCTTATTTGTTTTACACAACCTATACTTGAATCGTTACTGCTGCAAGTGTGTATTTATGAGGGTTTCACATGACCGCAGCAATAATCTGGTTTATGAGCAGCACAAATGCCGACGTTTGTGTTATGGCTGTTAAAACAATGCACACACACGACACACACACACACACACACACACACACACACACACACACACACACACTCACTCACTCAAGTGCACTCTCACAATAATAACACTGACAAACATTACACACCATCTATTGAAACAAACATCAGGTTTATGTCTCTTTCAAGACCTTCTAAACTGTCTGAGTCATGATAACACGTCACTAAAATCACCCAAACGTCCATAGGGAATATGAATTGTGTAAAAATGCCCTTGGGGTTGGTCTGAAAAAGCAAGCCAGAAATGATCTGAATAAACCAAAGGACCTGACCACCAGGACGGGGGCGGAACCGGTTCACTTCTTTCATCCCAGCGGTGGGATGTTTTACGTCACGTATTAGGGCCAGCTGTGGAGAGAGAGGGGGAGAGAGACGTAGGGGAAACGAGAGAGGGAGAGAGCGAGAGAGAGGAGGAGGATTCTTATTCCCGTTAATGAAAGCATCATTTGAGCTAAAGGCTGTCGCTCTCCGGTTGTTTTTAACTCAGCCACTGCATTCCAGACCAGACTACCTCGTTGGCGGAAATGTTGGCTCTCGTGGCTGTTTTTTAAGGACATTCATTGCAACATTAGGCCTTAAGGAAGAGGTAAGGGTATCTTCATCCAAATGGCACGTGCTTCGCATGGCTTCAGCTGGAAGATCGTTTTAAGTTTGTTTTGGCGCTCGAGCGGCAGTTTTATGTAGAAAAACTGACTCGCGCCTTGATATTAAAGCGTTACTGTGTCGCGAGTAACTAAAGTGCAACGAATACAGACAGGCGACTGTGGGCCCATAGTGGTTAGAAAGCCCTCTTGTGTTATCTCTTCTATCAAGATGAATATAATCCCACCCCTCTTTCCTCGTGTAGTCATCCCCTCATGCTAAATTAGCAGACGAGACATGGCAGAAGGGTGCGAGTACTCCTGCAACGGATGAGGAAAGAGGAAAGGTGGGCCAACTCTTTTTGTACGGTAAAGGTAAGGCACAAAACCGCCTGTTTTGCATGAGCAAGTGACGTGTAACACAGGCCCTCAGGTCCTACTTTAAGTGGTTTGTTGCGGTTAGCGTAGCACGATGCTGTTTTTGGTTTACTTATCAACAAGTCTATCACGAGGCAAATGGTTTTGTTGCCATGGAAACAGCGCAAGGTGGTATCCTGCGACGCAATTGGAGCGATCCGGTGTTGACTAATGGACGCTCCTCTGCTGCTGCTTCCAGCTCGCTGGCTCTCTCGGAAAATAAACTCCTGGCTACAGCGGGTAAAAATACTCCGCCGCTCTTACATCAGTGCGCCCCGTGATATTTTTGGGAACGTCTGCCACGCGCGTCGGAGGGGCTATTGGTTGTCTGTCTTTTGCCAGCGCTGGACTGTCGCCCGCAGCTCCGAGAGGGGGCAAAGAGACGAGATTTGAAAATGTAAACGGGAAAACAGCGCAGCGGTGCAGCAGCGAGGAAGTCTGTGAGATAAAAGATTACAACAAAATAACAGGGCGCCGTGGGGACAAACTAATAACGGCTTGACCTTGTCTCTGTGATGGACAGGACCAAAGCGTCCAGTCCCGTCGCCTGTATGAGCACAGTGACTGCTGCCCGGAGCGCTGCTGTGCGGCATACGGGGGATTTGGCCGGGTTTGGATAATTGGCGCTTTTACGCACGCGACCGGTCACACCAACTGAAAAAAAGTTGGGAGATGGCATTGTCTGCTGAACTTTATCAGACATTATTTCACCTGGTGCTTTACACGGCCGAAATGGATACTTTGTGTTTTTAAAGTTGTTTTTTAAATGTTTAATTTGAACGCGCTGGAGAAATGTGGAGCGCGTTAATGAACGGCTCGGGGCTGCACGCTGGTGGGGGCGGAGCTGGTGGGGGCTACGTCCCGTCTCAGGGATGGGAGTTTGTGCCGTGCTCCGGGATGGAGAGGGCGGATAGAGGCAGGGGGAAGAGTCGCAGCCCGTCGAGGAGGATCTCCTCTCCGCCCACCGTCTTCAGTCACATCTACGAGTCTCAGTTCGGCGCTCCGCCGGGTGGAGGAGAAGGTGGAGCAGGGACACAGCTTGAGATCCGCAGGGGACAAATATGGCCGGGGCCCGAACCCCAGCAGCAGCAAACACAACACACGCGGCTGAAAAAGAAATTTGAGGATTTGAAAAAGCGACACGTTAAGGATAAGGAGGAATGGATGCGCGAGAAGGAGTCATTGTTGAGAGAAGTAGCTGACATACAAGTGATTGGATATATTTACACCTTTTGAAAGCTAAATATACTTCTGTGTGTGCCTAGTGCGTGTGTGGTACACATGCATTCTTTTTTCTGCAGTATTGAATGGCAATAAGTTGCAGTTTGTCAATGATGCCTAATTTGAAGTCGGTGAATTTGTTGTGTTTTGTGGTTTCATATCTTATATTCCCAGAATATTCTTCAGGGCTTCAAATTTAAATTGTGATACACCAGTGTAAGCATCAGTTTAGTATAACGTTTTTATTTCCTTCTCATTTCCTCAGTTCCTACTGTAAGTTTCAAATATGCTTGTTCCTTTGGTTGACAAGATTGCTGCAAACTGTTTCCATGCAGGGAGGGGAGAACCGGAGGATTCTGCTGGAACTGAAGACAGTTTTGGAGGAAGTGCAGGTGGAGGTGAAGAGAGAGGAGGAGAAGAGGAGCGAGCTCCAGCTGCAGTACACCAGAGACAGATGTGCCTGGGAGCTGGGGAAGGCCGAGCTCAAATGCAGGATTGAGCAGGTAACTCGGGGATGATGATGACTGTGATTTGTGAGTGTTATTTTGGGGGTTTAAGACTGTATTCAAAAGCATCTGCACACAAATACTTAGTCATTGCAGACTGTTTGTGTGTGTTAGAGCGATGTATGCATTACTGCACGCAAAGAATGCTTTATTTAAATTCTTATCTACATTGTTTCTTGTGTTAGTATATTTGTGTATTGTCATATGTCTGCGTGTGACGAGCTATTCGCTACTCGTCTGGCCTCCAGGTTGGTGTAAATTGGGATTGCCACATTTGCAACCCACATTGGTGATTAGTTGACTCAATCGTCAGATTTGTAAAACTGAGTTTCTCCACAAAGAATCGCACAAGAGCACGACTTTAAATATTGTGTTGACCAGAGATGCGCTCATATGTTTCTTGAAAATAAGTCGTTTGGCATTAAAAAGTATAATGAAGACAAACCTGGCTGCTTTTAAGTCCTTTATAATTAAAATAAATTAGGCCCCAGGATACGACCCTGTGGCACCCCACATCACATGGCAGGGTGATAGGTCCCCTGGCATCCATCCAACTTAAGCCTCAGTTCAGACAAAAGATTTGCAGTGAGGAGACGGACGTTATCCTCGCTCAGCCAGACACAGACACCCAACTTGGCTTTTTAACAGCTAACTCTAAGTAGATAATATAACCTTTTGTTGCCTTGGACAGCTACTGTTAAGTGTTTCTTTAAATGACCAGAAAATAACTTCGAGTTAAGTTTGCATACCAGTGCCATGCTGTGTCAGGAGCACTCGAAGGACCATGCATGGCTATTCTTCAAAGCAAAGTGGCTTTGAGGATTTAGCTTATTTTCTGGTTATATCAGAAGATAGATTTAGTTGGTTGCTTTTGATCCTGGGAAGTTTGTTCAGACTTAGATTTCTCTGTCTGCTGACTTGTGTGTCTCGGTACTCGTCACATGTCTAGTTTTCTGTGATCGTTCAACCCCATATGATTCCCATCAAAGACTTAAAACTGATTGGCGACGCATTCACCCGTTACACAGCGCAAGTCCTTCGTCCTCAGAAGCTAAAAGAAAAATCTAACGATCCTCTGAGTGAAGCCATGAAGCACAGAAACCTGGTGCTGGAAACTAACGAGGTGGCGCAACGATACTTTAGATAAGTTGGACAAGACCACTGCTGACACGATGACACAGGAATGCAATATAGTAAAATGGTTTTCCCAGCACTGATGGTTTAACCACCATAATGTCATTCTCTCTGTGTGAGTAGATGGCACAAGGTTACTGTTCAGCTCTTCTCTTTGTCCTGCTGGCTCGGTGCCTTCTCACGGTGTGGTTGACAGAGAGCCTTATAAAAACAGACTTTTACTGTTCTGTTTTGCTTTTGTAAAGCCCATTGTGGCTGTGGGAGAAAGCAGCCTAATCTATTGCAGGAGGTTATGCCATGATGCCACACACACACACACACACACATTGATGTTATATATTAAGATGCTGATGTGCATGTAAGAAATCTTTATTTGAGGCAGTTGAGTTGCTGCTTCTGAGAGCTTTGACACTCTGAAGATGCATTGATGTTTTGTTTCTTCTATATATTGGCAAAGTACACATGGAAGTATCTTGTGTGTTTTACTGTATGTGTGTGTGTGTGTGTGTGTGTGTGTGTGTGTGTGTGTGTGTGAACATCCAAAGTGTACAAACATTTTGAATGGATCATGCGCACACACACACACATGCAGACATTTCTATACTCATTGCACAAACAGACCAAGGGGAAATGTGTGTTGGAGTGAAGCCATGCTGGGCAGGGTTAGCTCCATTGTAAAAGTTGTTTTGTCTTGATGCCACATCCTGCCACAGTTTATAATTTTGGTACGTGTTTACCAAGTGCTAATCTTGCTCATCAGGTTCAAGATGCATCAAGACAAGTTTTCTGAAATCATTCACAGCTTACAAATCAAATGACTAATTTACAGACTTCACAGACCTTTAACTAGCTTGTATCCCTAATGGGGACGTATAGAGTGAACTTGTAACAGGTCTATAAACAAAGTTTGGTCTGCTTTTAGTTCAAGACAGCAGGTTTAGATGTTATGCAGCTGATAGACGAGGTTGTTGACATCATATTTTCTGTAATCCATGTAATTCACTTGCTATATTTAGACAGAACACAAAAATGTGTAGCTGATAATCGTTTCACTTTTGTTTTATAAATTGCTGAGCAAATATCATGTGGGCGACTCAGAAATAGGCTAGAATGAATGGAAATCAATGCAAGGAGCATCAGTAGAGGTCAGTAGAGCAAAATGGGTGTGACTTAATGTCCCTTTGAAGTAAATGTGAACAATTTCAGCATGAGTGACAAACTCCTGTCGTTTTCCTCACATTGGCTTCACTGTGTCAGTGCAGGGAAGATCCCATTTTTGGCTCAGACGGAGGGTGTTGAGGATGTAGCAGGTAATGGTTTGAATGCTGATACTGATCACACCAATAACAATTTGAAACAGATTTGAAAAGTGACTGTAGAAGGAGTGTCAGAGGAATACTATGGAGGATTATCCAAGCAGCCAAGTGTATTATGGAAACCTAAAGTTAGTGTATGGAACGAGTGGTGGTTACTTAGGGACCTGGGTCCAGTAAGTTTGAATTTTGAGGTCACTTTAAGTAATGCCGTAAGTGAAATGGCATTTGCATGTTGTCACGATGAAGATGTCCTTATCTGTGAGAGTCTGCTTAACTCCATGGACTTAAGTGCTACATAATTGCTTCATAATTGAAGTTTTATGCATAAAATGTCCACATTTTCCATATTTTTCCATATTGTTAGCTGTGGTTAGCAGCTAGTTTTGGTCCCTTTTGTTGGTCATCTGATTGGTCAAGAAACTGAAGCTCTGTAGCTACAAACAGTTCAGTCAAATCATGATATCATTTTGAATTTGGCTTAGTTGATACTCTCATTTATTTGCTATACCAGAGTTCTAACTGCAAATAATTAAGCATCAACACAGTTGTAGCTTATGAGCAGTTGCATTCTTGTTCTATTCTTGAGATTTTAATTACACACCTTTCTCCACAGCGGGCTCTGGCTGTGAATGTAACTGTTGTTTGTTGTTTCCAAATCTTTTTTTGGGCACTCCTACCACCAAATACGAAGTACGCATCCAAGGCAGTGGTCTTAGGCCTGATATTTCCCTGCATATTTCTCCGCACGCCACTGATTTATGAATGCCGCTGGCAGCTATAGGAGACATCTCATTCTGCCTTAGCGGCCAACTCCCCCCTCCTCCTTTTACCTCGTCCCCCCACCTCCCCTCGGAATGTGACATTGTACAAGGCTGTGTGTCCGCTATTTATAGTGGGTCACCGTGGTGACACGGTTACCTTTATATCCCCTTTTCCATACAGCGACAGACAGGGTGCCCAAGAGTATCAGGAGTTGGCTCCTTGAGAAAGACGTGTGCTTGCATGGGTGTGTTTTTTCCCTGAGCTGGGTCTAATGATGTTGAACTATGTCCCTGTTTGCATGCAAAGGGCCTCCAGAGGTTTCTTTTTAAGAAGACTGTTTCAGCTCTGACTCCAACCCTCTTATTTATGCACTTTCACTATTTGTTTACATTTGGATGTTTGAATGGACTGTGGACAGCACCCATCAGCATCCGTCTGTAATTGTGGAGAAAAGAGCCACAGGCAGACAGAAAAGGGGTTGACATGTTTTTTTACTCCATAATTTCATGACCCCAGGCCACAGGCAGAAATAGCACCATGACCCAGGCTTGTATGAAGGCTTTGGTGGCTGTCTGTGACTGAACACTTAAATAACACACTCGGGAATGCTCGTATGCATTCTCTCCCTCTTTCTAACACACACACACTACATTGACATGCACATGTATGCTCATGTACAGGCATTGTCTTGGGCTCTTTCCAGTTCCAAAGCCAACATTTTTTTACGAGTAACAAAAATGCACATATTCACCGCAGGAAGCACAGATCTATGTACTGAAACACACCCGTATTATTAAATACTTTAAAAGAGGAAAGCCTCTCAATCAGATCATTTCCTTGTATTATCTCATTGGTAGAGGACATTTCGGATTAGTTTTCCTAACACCATTATCTCATCTAGAGGTACAAATCAGACCACCAAGACTTCAATCTTTGATGTTATGAAATTCAGTCCGTTTTTAAGCCTTTTAAAAAAAGAGAACATCCTTTGACTTAAGGTTTTGGCTGCAACACAGTGACATTCTCAAGGGAAATGCCCAGGGTATTCTCATTGAAATAAAATTGTCCAATTAAACCTAATAAAATTGGCATTTTTCTAATTTGTTGAAAGGAATCAGGAGTTCTGTTTAATTTGTGTTGAGAGATCCTCTTTGTATGAATATAATTTGACTGAGGCCACATGCATCCTTTGGAGTATTTTGATGTGCATGAATCTGCCATATCCTGCACTGCATCCTGTGTAAGGGAAGCACCATAGAAAAGAGACTTGAACCCTGAACCCAGGAGCCCTCTATGTGAGTTCTTACAGGATATTTTCATCTTTCAATCCTCTCTTTTCTCCCTCTTCCATCCTCTGAACCCACTCACACTCGTCCCCATGGTGCATTATCCCCCCACATCCTCCGCCTTCTCTTCCTGCCACTCCTGCATTCTCTTCATTCCGCTTTTAACAAATCCTTTCACTCATGCCTTGCTTGTCTCTTCATCTGGCTTATCGCCACTGACTTTTTTTCTCCACCGTCTCTCCCACTCTTTCCCCTTCCATCTATCTCCCTGCTGCTTTTCTCTCTCCTCCTCTGTGCCCTCTGCACTCCCTGTCTGTTTCCTTCTCTTCAGTTGGAGGATAGAGAGGGTGCTGGGTTTATCAGCGGTGGGGTCCAGTCAGCAGCAGGTCCCGGCTCTGTGGCGTCACGAAGACAGCACGGCGAGACATCCACACTCCGCCGAGAGAGGGAAGAGCAGCGGAGGCTCCTGGCGGACACGCATTCGACGGCCATGGACCTGCGCTGCCGCCTGGAGCACAATGAGAGTGACTGGTTAAGAGAGAAAGCAGAGCTGCTGGAGAGGTTTGACGTGGAGAGGAGGGAATGGGATTGCCAGCTGAAGGATATGCAGAGGAAAATAGAAGTGGTAAGGTGCTCCGAGTGTGTTTGAATGATAATATTTCTGCGTTTTGTCTTGGTTTAATTTATTTGATTTTGAGTTACAGTTGGATTTAGGTAAAAGTAAGTCATGAATGACTGGATAAAGGAAAACTCTGAGAAGTATGTGATGCCAATTCCCAACTTATGAGACTTGTGCATGAGATGTGGCTTCCTATGCAATGAGCGGCCTACAGTGCGTAACGCTTCCCTCCTACACATCCTGTTCACCATCAACACTGTCAAAACAATATCCCCGATCAGTGCAGCTGCAGGGTTTGAGGCAAGGAAGGAGTGGAAGGAGGAGTGCGAGGGTTCTGCTATTTCTCTGATATCTCTGTGTAATTAGACAGAGGCAGTGATTTAGCAAGCCATGACCTGGAGTGATGTAAACCGAGAAGCAACATGATAATAAACCTTCCTGTCTTACATGACAGTAAATATCTCTTGGATGTCTTGACAAAACAAGTTCCTGAAGCTCCAGGAGAAGTCTTCAAATTGCTGGCCTTAGTTGCTGCCCTAATATAAAAGTTGAATGGTGGAGTTGGATGAGAATAATTAAGCAAGAAAGTATAACTTGATAAGACTGGTCAAAGAGGGAATTAGAGCAAATGAATGGACCAGAGAGAGGGACAAAGGTAAAGAATGAGATAGTGTAGGTGACAAAGCCAGAGTCCAAATCTGACATGCCCAGAGGAGCAGCTTAGTGTTTTGAATGAGGGAAGCCACACAAAAGTAGCTGGAGAGAGTCCTAAAGCACGGGAACAGCTTGCTAAGAAAAGAACATGTGGCTCTCTCATTTGCCCGTCCGAGACCAGAAAATGAGAGAGCAAAGCAGCAGAGGAATAAAGCGGGCTAAAAGGCAGTAGTCCCATCTAGACATAACGTGATGGGAAGGGAGCCCAGTCAACATGCAATAGTTACTATTTTGGGATTCCACTGGAGGAGACCAGAGGTTATCCAATTTAATTTGAAAGAATTCTTTGAATGTTTTTTTTTAATCCTCTGCGGTCTAAAAATGTCACAAGATTCGCTGCTATGCTGTCTCGACTTCACATCACCCCGAATTAGTTTGTGAGGGACTGTGTGCAGATGCAGTATTGTACTGTTAGTATAATCATATGCCATCCTCTATGTTGTCATAGGCATTCACTGAGAGTAGAGTCAATATATATGCCATACACTGACTTAGGTGTACATTTTTGATCTAATAGATAATATAAAAGAATAGTATCGTTAGATAAAACGTGTTTCTGATTGACATAATTGTTGATTTGTTTAGTGTTATATTGTTTATGCTCAATATTTGCAAAATCAAATGTTGAAATTCATCTTAAAAGAATACACTTTAAATTACAAAAGTACAATGTTCCATTCCACATAGGACTAATCCAGTATAGTTGATGAAAAAAAATGATGACCTCAGTTGTTCTTCCTATTTCTAGCTGTACTGTGACGTGAGAACCAAGCGAGAAGTGCAGGGCAGTGGGAGGCAGGACGACAACGATGATGTGCACAGGCTCAGCATTCGCTCAACCACCTCCGGCTCCAGTCTGCTCAGTGACAACGAGCCGCTCAGCAGCAGCAGTCAGTCAGAACCAAGCAGACATCCACCTTTACCTGGTTTTGGTCACAACAGAGACCTCAGTGGCAGGGATTGTGTTGGCAGAGATGGTCACCACTCCAGCTGCTTCCAAGCAGACAGCCTCTTTGGATATGATATTGGGGGTCAGTTCACTCATTCACAACCTGAGCTGGTGGATGAGTTAAGTTCTAGAGGCACTTGGCAGCAAGACTCAGCCACCGATGGCAAGCAAGCTGCGGATACAATAGAGCTGGAGGCTATGTTTCATGGAGCGCCTGGATGTGGAGTGCCACAGAAAAATGTCTCAAACAGTAATGAAAACAATATCCATGTTCATCCTGAAGAAAAGCCTCTCTGGGCAGAGCTGAGCTACGGCAGCGACAAGAAGAGGAACACCACTGCTCTCAATGCTGTGAGTGATTCAAAGGAAACACTATATTTATACACAGTTTAGACACATCGGTGTTGTCGTCATTCCTTGTCTTTGCTTTTTGCTCTGCTGACACAAACTTGTTTGATCATCGGTGTTCCTGTATTCTCCTCTCTGTCATTCCTTTGTTTCTTTGAATAGATGATCCTCCTTATCTACCACATCCTCAGGTTTAAGTTTTAGTTTTTTTTAGTTTTAGTTTTTCAACAATACATAGTATCCAGCATGTCTCATTGTATCTCTGTCTCCCCATCTTTGTGTCTCAGGCTCTGAAGGAGATCGCCCGTGTAAGCGAGGAGCTTTGCAGCTACCAGGACGAGATCAGAAGGAAGAGTGGGGATAAGAGGTAAATAAATCCCCTCTACTATGTTAACTTCCTGGCGTGAACATGGAACTATGATAATCACTGTACCTGTTATGTCTTGATACAATAAGGGTAAATGCATTTCACTGTTTCATTCTCTTCAGGAATCGATCTGAATCCCTGTGCCTTCCTGAGGAGAGCAAGATGTTGTTCGGCCGCGATAAAACCCGGCTGGAGGTCGATGAAGCTCCCTGCGAACTCAGCCAGATTTGCGATGACCTCCGGGCCTTGGAGAGGGAAAACTGGATCACCTTGTCACCAGAAAGCACCTGGAGGGCAGACAGAGGGCCAAGCAAATCCTGGATAGCAAACACTGCTGATCCAGAAAGCCACGGAGTAGCAAAGACAAGCCCTGGATTACTCTCAGAGATTGTGTCACAATGTCCAGCCGTCCCTCCCCGCACCTCCTCCTGGAATCTGAGCTCTCCCACTTTTCCTGACACAGAACTTTACATCCCAGAATCCCCCACGATGACAGTGAGGAAGTGCCATAGTCCCTGTGTTCTAGTTGACAAAAAATGTAGCAGCCCATCTATTGTCAGGAAGTTTGAGGCTATGCTACAGGAAAATGAAGGAAAAGTTTTGATAGACGGTGTTGTAGCATCAAGCCCCGTACCTGCTAAATCTGAATGTATTAATAAGGGCTGCTGCCACAATCGCTGGTCCTGTGACGCAAGCAAGTTCACAAGCAGTAAGCTGTCGACTTACGGGACTGTCCAGAAAAGCTTCTCTGAAGTCAACATATTGACTGCTGGCAAGAACTTGCGCTCAGATTACTGCCCTGGTGTTGGGAGCCTAAAAAGCCCTGAGCTACAAATACCTCAGATTGTCAAAGAATTACCTTTAGATTTGCTCTTGTCCTCTCTTGAAATACCACCTGCTGGCCCCAACCTCCACGGCTCCAAGAGAAACATAATGCTGGAACAAAAAACAGCTGAGTTCAACAGAACCTTGTTTCAGGCTGAGATGGGCCGTAGAGGCGTAGAAGGACGAGACAGTTTTACAGTAACAGATGCCTGCTCTGTGGGTTCTCCAACTTGTGCATCAGATGAGATATTACCTCCCGGGGAGACAACATTTCAGCCACTTTGTACTGATGTCACCACTAGCGTCATGGGTGTGCATCCTGAAATCGCGTTGTCTCTTTCCACCTCAAATTCCACAATTCAGAACCCCGAGGTCCAATCAAGGCGAATGAGATGTGGTGCTGAAGGCCAAGGGGTAAGAATGAAGCAAGGAATCCTTTCTGACCTTTCATCTGAGCAGCCAAGGCTTGGAAACAGTGTGGAGACAACGCACCATTGGGAGGTCAAGCACAAAGTTCAAACAGCATGCAGTCCTTCCAGGAAAGCACAACACAGAGCGGCCACAGAGGCTCTGTTTTCTGAGCCTGTCTTGCCTGCAAATACCCAGCCAGGTCAGAGTGTGGATGGTTCCAGCTCCGAGAATGAGAATCCCCACGGAGCGAAGTCAGTTGGTGTCTCACTCCAGCAGCCGTCTGCTGAGAACAAACAAAGACAGATGACACAGCCAGGGCAGCAGGCACAGCTACGGCATGCGTCGGCTTTTCCTTCCCAGCCTGACTCCTCCAGACCCGGGCCTCGAATGATGAACGACCATCCCTGGAAGGCCCTCACTCTGGCTGCGTACCCACGGCCAGAGGGATCCAGATCCAACTACGGGGCAGTGGAGAGGATTCTGAAGAATTATGAGAGTGCAGCCCGGGCTCACCAGAACCAGAACCAACCCAACGAGATGGATTCTAGTCCCAACGCCAGTGTCAGGCAGGAGGAGAACGTGACCGAACTGGACATGCTGGACATTGACCCTCTGCCCTTACCTCCCACTCTGAGACACACACAGACTTCAAGCTCCTCACAGAAGCACACCACACATGCACAGTTCAGCAGCCACAGTGCCATGGGTGTGAAAGAGGTACATCTAACAGTGCAGGTGGGTAGAGTCTGAAAAATACAGTCTGTATACACACTTTCACATGTAAGCACCCGCCTTGCTGCTCAGCAGGTGTGCTATTCACCGTACAGATGTTAACATTTGGAATGAAAAGAGTTGAATGCATTTTTTTAGGTCATGGCCAATTACACCAGTAGACCTGGGTGAACTCGCACATTTCGTTCTGTCTCATTCCATTCTGAAACACTAAGCGATTGCCCTTGACTGGGGACGGCTCCGGTGGGAATGTTGTTTATTTCTGGTGTGTGCTAAGAGACAGAAGCAGGCCAAAGCCTCCATTATAATCTGGGCATCTGGGCCATTCTATTGCTTAAAGGCTCGTGACAAAAGGAACTGGCGGTGTGGCATATAAAGTACTTGCCACAGGAGATTTATCACCCTCAACAACATACTTGTCTTTCATCTTCCAGTCCTTCCATGGGGCCTCGTAGTGGAAGTGTTTTTCTGGCCTTTGTGTAGTAATTATAGAAGTATCTGCAAGAAGCCAGCTGACTAAATGCCCTTGGCAGAGCTGAAGTGATCACGCTGCTTTAAAGTCATGCAAATGGTAAAGAAATCGGGGGAGAGATTATCAAGCCCATTTGACTTCATGAAAATAATTTAATTAGAGGCACCGCTTTAGTTTAACCTTAACCGAGGAGTACTGTCCAAAATGCAATGCTGTACCGAGTACGGTATTCCACTTCAGATGCTTTTCTCTCGACTTAAAAGAATAGGATCTACTTGTTTGACCTTTCCACATGAGCGTGTTCCTGTTTGAAATATGCCTGTTGTTTCCTCCAGGGTCAAGAAGACTTCAGATGGAACACGTGACAAAATGTAAAGTATCTTGAGTGTGTGAGTTTAAATGTTGATGGAACGGTGTGATAATCCTAAATGGTAATTCATTTGTTTCTCCACAGGAGAACGACGTGACCCCCGTCTCCTCCTCAGCTCAGAAGAACTTCTCCAGGCCTGCCCGTCCAACCAACCGACGCCTCCCCTCCCGATGGGTCAGCCGCTCCCCCACTTCCTCCTCCTCCTCCTCTCCCTCTACCACCCCTGTTGTGCCTCCATCCTTCGCCCTCCAGAAACACAGTTCCTCTTTTACCTACTCGCACGCCTTTCACATGGAGACTGTCATTATTTGACCTCCACCTCCCCGTATGATTGAACCAACGAGAAGCCCTCAGCGACAACCTCAGAACACTGAACGTTCCTTTTCATTGCTATTGTACATACCACACCCAGACTGCTTCTCCACTCCTACAGACTCAGAAGTGCTTTAGTTCACCAACTCACCTTTTAGAATGTATGTGGCATCCAGCAGAGACTAACTGACCAAGGATGCAAGGAAAGGATCTGAAGCAGCTTCACTTATTCAGCAGTGTGCTCCGATGAACCCGCCTGATGAACCAGGCATCATGCGTAGCCTCAGAGGACAATGAAAACGCGTCATTCATTCATGCCAACCATCGGAATGGATGTCCTTTACTCTGGTCTGGATTCTAGCCTGGACTAGTGTAGCCTTGCAGATCTGCCAACAGACCTTCTGCTACTGCTTAGTTCTATATACTGCATTTACACCTTTAAAGTCATACTTGGTCATATTCAAATGATCCAAATACTTCCAGACAAAATTAAATCCAGGATGATGTATTAAATACGTACTGTATTTTGTGCGCAACATGTTTTGTGTACCTTTTGCACAAACTATCATGTTTCATACACAATATGCAGCATCATGGATTCATGGATAGAGATAAAGGCAGTGGAGCAGAGAGTTCCCCGTGGCATCACTCTGTGTGCTGAATTAAGCCGTGTTAGTTTCTGCCTTCTTGAATATGTCCTACAGTACATGCCTGGACTGTACCTTGCCTGTGACTAAAACACTTTGCTTTACATTCATGACTGGCTTTACATTTTTCATTACAGTAACACGAAAATGTGAACGTGAGGTCCTTTTTTATAACTTTGTACCAAAGGCTGGTTTTTTTTTCTGCATTTTCCTGATTTGAAAATGAAATACATTGTTTGTGACAGCATTTATTTTTGCTGTCCCACCCATTGCTTATGTTTTCCAATCAAAATGTATGTTAAACACCGTTCACGAGAGCCTGCTTTTGTGCTTAACACAAATAATGATGCTTATGTAAAACAGATTAAAAGGCCTTTTTCTACTTTTACTAATTCTGAATGGTCACATATCAGGACATTACTCAGCTGAGTAGTACAGTCAGTTTTGTGGGTGAAAGTGGTGAACCATATGATGAAGGTGATACCTTTGCTGTTCTTTTTGTGTAATAAACATAAGGACTTACATATTTCTCCTCTCTTTTCACATCACATACCAAAATACCTACAGTTGCACCATACTTGAACAATACTGTATGTGGTGTTGTCATGCTGTGCAAGGAGCATTATTATAAAGTAGTATTTAAGAAGTTGAATGACCCTTTAGACAAACCAGTTTAGTCTTATCTAACTTGTGTGTTTTGATTTTCTCAAATAATCTTCAATGATTGAATTGACACACTACAGGTTAAGCCGACCTTGCCACTGTGCAGTTGCCTTGCCCCAGTACAGCGCTCTTCAATCCCACAATAGGACCAATAAGTCCTCAACATCAATCAAACATGGCACAGTAATATCTTTGCATCGAGAGGAGTCCTAGGTGACCGTTGGACTCACAAAGATGAAGTACCAGAACCAAAGGACTGTCTGGCTGCTTCAATCTTGTTGGCGGACATCTCTGGTGACACTGTGATCTCTGCCTTTGAGTGATCGCTGCAGAGCTACGTGATGGGAGCAGAGGGAGCACCTATCTCTTTGATAGTGTGGGTGTGTGTTCAGTATGCATGCACTCCTCCATAAATCCTTCTGCATTCCTTTTTCTAAATGTGTGATTTTTGTTTGCGTCAGATGGTGTATTTGTGTTTCTGTCTACAACATGAAAACACTACTTTACTGCACTGGTTTTGCACTTCACACACACACATACTGTACATGCCCATCGTCTTACATAAACATTAAGGGACAGGCACACACACACACACACACACACACACA